TTTCCAGAAGGCGACGGCCTTCGGGGGGGCGCTAGATTATTGTCTATGGTGGCACTTGAAGCGGAGCCTATACTTTGCGGTGTGCCATCGCCGCTGACTTACTCCGTAGGCACTGGCCTCGATATGGTCCATTATACGACTTGGCTGGATTGAGTAGGTGATTGTTTTACTGAGAGCACGTGCTGATGCAATTACTACATGGTAAATACGGAGTACCTAGGTACTTATGGATACTGAGCCCTTTCACTAATTGTGTGGCGACGTGGTGGAGAGTGGTAGGCAGATGGATTCTGACTTGGGAAATATGTTTGTGGACATTCTAAAGTTCAAGTATACGAGTATGTACGATCACCATGTTCACACGCCATGGATGGACGGAGTACTAAGTAGAACATTCTACCGAACTGCCTCTACGGAATACAGTTTACAACGTACCGATAGGTGCTCTCTAGGGCTCTATCGAAGTACTATATTTTCAACAAATGAAACTTCGGACATTGAGCCTGTCTCGTACTAAATCCAGCCTCGGTTCGACTGTCTCAAACCATTGCGACCGAGTTTAATCTATCTGTGTGATATCAAACGGCCAGTAAATATGTTATGCAGAGACACTGCCACTGCCGATATTGCTCCTAGATTTATTCCAGATGGGGCGCGACTATTACCGAACAGCCATCTAGGCATTCTCAAGCCCCGACACTGTATCTCGTAATGATTCCAAGGTCCTCGGTGCACGTGTCTCAGCCATGCTATGTTACATCTGCTCCGTCCCGAGCCAAGCGAGAGGGAGAAAAGAAAATGCGGGGATACTCGGCTATTCCGGTTTCGCACAATGGTGTTTCCATGGGTGAGGATGCGCACCAACCTATCTTGCGGGTAAATCATCATTTACCAGGTTTGAATGGGATACAGCTCACTACGAACGCAAAACGGCCTGTTTCTGGTAGACGCCAAGCTATATCTGTATTCTAATATCTGGACGGGAAGTATGCACGGCTCGGTGCCCCAAAAGTAGACATTCATTTGAGAAAAAGCGCAATTAATCCATCATCTTGCTGTGAAAGAGACTTTCGCTAGAAAAAGTAGAAAGCATTAGCCTCAGGGTAGCGTGCTAGGCACGTGTTTCAGATGTAGTGCTCGCACCTTGGTACGAGTAGTAGTTCCTCGGTATCCGCATAAATACTCCAGACTCTATGCATCGTGATCTCAATCCCAAACTTTGATCTTGTCAACTTGAGACACTAAACCATTAATGGTTACTTGGAACCGAAAGAGGCGTTTCTGTTGGAATTACTCGTACATTCAAACTGGAGACATTTATTTTATCTTTGATTTTCGCCGAACCGTACGAATACATAGATATGATCGTATGCCATTAGGCTACTTTGAGGTTCTTGAACTATGGGACGCGGAGTTGGCCACCATGGGACAGCAGACAACATATGGGTACTCTGTATGGTTACACTGAGCTTATCTGCAAGGCTAAGCAGGTGCAGGTACCAACGGGACAGAACGTGGGAGGGAAGAGTTCGTTTCAGGTAAGATCTGCTGTGCGTCCCGGTCCACAATTCTGAACTCGAATTTCTTGGTCGGCAGGTAAAAAGGAGAAAGTAGCGTAGCCAATGGAAGTTTCTCGACGTTCTCCCCGGCAAGCTCGCAATCTTCAGCCTAAAAGAGAGTTCTTAGTTACACTGAGGCTTGAGAAAGCGTGAACACCACCCCCACTCGGTTCCACCGTCGGCATGGATCGGCCTCCGGTGAGTCCACGATTAGCCAAGTGAGAATGACTAGTGCCTGCGAGAGTTCTTGTTCGATCAATGACATTCTGGAGATAGGATCGTGGGACAATTTTGGGATGCGGAGAGGTGCACAGCGTGTGGTGGACTATGGTGGACTTTTGTGGATTACAAGACGGGTGCAATTCCGCTCGCCAACGAAATGGGTGGAAAACGATTATCACTGGATTTCAAGGTTCGTGTGGACACCTGTTCACACTGAACCCCAAGATCGTGGGAAACCGATTCCTTGGCCCAGGGAGCTTTCCTCGAGCTCCATATCTGACACACGGGCTCTGCCCAATAATCGGGCTGTTCCTGAGTTGAGGTCCAGTGGAACAGATGTCGTATCGTCTCGGACCTGAATCTGTGGTACAACTGGGGCCTAATCGTATGTGCTCACCAAAATGGTGTGATTTCCGGCTATCTGATCGGATCTTTTGGCTCCTTTGAACTGGAGTTGCGGGATGTTCCCGAGGGAGATCTCATTCTTTTTTCGTGCAACTGGGCACCAGTGTGGCATGCAAATCTACTCGTACTTTAATAGGCCAAAAAGACACTACTCGTATATCCCGTAGCTCATGAATATCTTTCTTAATGTGTATCCACTAAAGACACCAGAAAAGAAACCCTGAGTAGCACATCAGCGCTCTTAGCCATAACTGTATTCCCGTAGCGTGTGTATGTTTATGCAGAATACGCAGTAGCGTAAGCACTACTTAGACTCGGACATGTGCCGTGCCAAAGTGGCACCGGATACTTTCTCCCTGGCCGTCAAGATCGACGCCCAGCTCCAAGTCCCATCAGATAGTGTACCAAGCTCTTCAAGTAGTGGAATCCAACCTTGGAAGAAAGCGGCTTGTACCTAGCGCTATAACGTTCATCTACTCGTACTTTGTATCCCGCGTCCACAGCAGGATCGACCCGCGCAATATTTGGTACGTAACGGGGCTCACCTGCGTTGTACGGAGTACCATCTCGGTGATCACAGCTTGGTACTCGCTGTTTTCAGATGAGAGACATGCCCACAATTCTCCGCATAAGCTGACCTTGACTGACTCGTATGGGTCGTCAATCACGATCCACGCAACATGGTCCCAGAACTCCGTACATACATACGAGTACATACTCAGTACTCGTACGGATGCACCAATCCCATGGGCTGAATCCTCAGCCTGGGCTGATGTGAGACTGCAAATCTCCCGCGTGGCGAGTGTGTACTTGTATGTACGAGTACTCGTACACTCATAAAACCGATGTTTAACGATGTCATCTGATGGGTCCCCATGTAAGACTATGCGCCATGAGGCTTTCTTGTCGCGCCTAATTGATTTTTGGCCCCAGCTACTCCAAGCCACTGATGAAAACATGTCTTCACCGGTGGATGCACAAACGAACTACCCTCCTGGGATGTTGTAACGAGTACCTTCAACTCTAGCACCACTAAATTGGACATTTCTCTCGTCTCGAGGCGGCAGAGCGGTGGAGTCGATGGGTCTTTCTTCGGAACATTGATCGAAAGGTGGTACCTTCCCAAGAGCAATGGCCAACTACTCCAAAGGTCCCCAACCCTCATTCCCACCCAGAATTACCCAGTCTCCAACGAATCTGAGCGATCCCGCCAGAAACCTCGGGTCGGCGGTCGGCGGGATCACCATGGAGCCCGGTTAAACCCCAACAGCGATCACGACATGGTTTCTCACAGTATTGCGCCAGCACTGAGAATCCTCTCTTCCTATACCCACGTCGTCCATCCACTTTGACGGACCGCGCTGCTCTCGCTCCATCTTGCACGAGCAAGTACTCCATACTTGCACTCCGTATCTGTACAACTCCTCGTGCTCACACTCACACAGTGGAGAAAGCAAAATCCACCTACGGGATGTATGTACACAAAACTCGGCTAACCTGTGCGACTCCATACCAAGGCGAGCCGCAACAGACGGCCGGGATAAATGGAGCGCCAAGGCATGCCCCAGGCCCGAAGACGGTCCGAGAATGGGGTTCGCGTCGCCAGCTGCGGTAGGTCCAATGTCCAATTCGCAAAGCTGCGAGAAAGCCGATTGCATCCGGTGCGGACTCCAAGCCGATATGGATACTTGTACGGAGTACTCGTGCTAAGTACGGCGTACTTCTGCAATGGCGGCATCAATGCCACGGCTCAATGGAGTCAAGACGGCCATTCAGCCCTACTGAGCTCGGCATCTTTGTCACATTTTCCGGGACTTGTCTTGGATTGATTGGGATATGAAAATTATATTAATGTCATGCAATCACGTTGGCTGTGGATCACCAAAGTTCAGTTGTCTGACGCTATCGGCAGCCGACGGGATGCAGATTCTGCATTCGCAGCCGACGAGTACTCGCATATTGTACGGAGGACTCCATACACCTTGCGGACCTGGCAAGCATCGGAAGAAGCCCGCGTAAGTACAGAATCTTGCGTACAGAGTACTCCGTTCGACCTGCGAACAGGGCTTGGACAAACAACAAATATCAAAGATTGGCCTCAGGGATGGTTAAAGTGAGATCACGCCCCCATAAGGAGTCAGTCTCTTCCTATCATATATCCATTATTCTCTTCATTGACCATATGATTGTTATATGGAGAAAGAAAGGAAACAGAAGTCGCGAAAGAAAAGTTCCCATCTCCCTCGCATAATCGCTTACATAACCGAGAAATTTTCAATGTTCCGCGGGCGACCAATCAGTTCCAGGGCGGAAAAACTAAAGCTCCGGGTCGCAGCATAAAAATCGAATTTCGATCAACTCCTTTACTCTTTCTTCTTTTCTTCTTCGTGCGGCGGCGCGACTTCGATACCCGTGTTGCCTGGACATCTACGGTCATTGTCTGGCCTTCAGTGATGTAAACCAGGTGTCAGTTGCGCCACAGACGAAGGGAATTGCACATTGATTCTACTTTATAGGTCTTTCTGATTCTTAAGGATGAGACCTTTTGGTTTGGGATCAAACATCACTCTATAGAAAATCTTTTTTGGTAGAAATCAAGTGAACCTCGGAACTTACACAAAACTTCAAGAAAATGGTCTATATTTTCATTCTCACTAAGTATTGTCCGATATGTCTGTACCCATGTCTACGCCCCATGCGCTCAGTACTCTGTACGATGCACGTGCTCATAAAACATGTTCATCATGTCCAAAGTGCAGACTCGCTCTGGATGAGTTGACTCTGATTTGTAGCGTTATTTTCTCACGTCTATGTTTACTCGCCAGGCTCATCGCCGATCTTCTCGAGCTTGCCCATGGATCTGTTCGCGCCAGCCTCGCCAATAATGCGAATTCGATCCACGCGCAGCTTCTCGCTGTCTCCATCGCCGTCTACAAAGAAGAGGACCAGCGATGTCACGTTCTGGAAGTTAACAAATCGCAAGCCAACCGTTGCGGTTCCGGTCTTCTCATCCCAATCTCCAGGCTGGATCTCCACCTTCTGCACGGGAGGAATTCCGTCCGCCTCGTCGAATCCAAGCACGTGGGATGCATTCTTGTAGATATGCAAGCTCTTAGGTCGCATGGGAGCTTCGTCGTCGGCATCCGCATCGGCTGGAGGAATAGATGTAACCTGGATCGAGTGGACCTTCAGCGTCGACTGGAATGGGATGTACAGCATCAGCTGCTCATCGGTATCACTCTCAACCCAGTCCGATTGGCCGTTGGCCTTGCCCTTTCCCTTTGTCGCTAGTCCGGCGGGTTTCGAGCTGTTGAATAACGTGCGCGGCTCGCCGTGCTCGGTGTCGCGGTTCAGCAATTCGAGTCCCTTCGCATCAACCTGGTCTGTAATGTCGCTGTAGCCCTTGGCCACTGGCCCACCAATCCAAAGGTCGCCAGAGCTTCCCTCGCCGGCGCCGGTTGCTTCATCGGACTGGCTTGCTTCCGATGCAAGCTTCTGAACGATCTGGTTCAGCTGTGCGGGGTTGGCGCCCTTGACGGTTTGGTTCACACGGCCGTTCTTGAAAACGATGAAGGTCGGCATTCTAAATGTAGGATACAACTGTCAGTAGCTGGAACTATGGTTTTGTAGTCGCATGCATCATTTGACTGGGTTTGGGGAACGGAGCACGTACGCGGTGACACCGTAGGCCTGGGCGAGCTCTTGTTGGTGGTCGACATTGATCTTGGTGAATGTGATGGCATTGGGGCGGGAGAGCTGGGTGGCCAGCGAATTATAAGCAGGCGCAATAGCTTTGCATGGTCCGCACCAGTCGGCATAGACTATATAGGTATCACACGCATGTCAGCAACGGCTCTGCTGTTTGGCGGTCGAAGAGAGGGCTGGCGGGGTAGCAGCGAGGCAACTTACAGTCTGCAACAACAAGGCGAGAGGAAGAAAGGAGCGAGGTGAACTGCTCCTTGGAGGAGATCTCAACGACGGACATATTGGCGTTGGGAGGGTAAGTGAGGGGTGGGTGAAAAGGTGAAGTTGTGTTTTGCTTGCTTCCGAATATGTCATCAGCCCCTCTGGTCGCCGCCCTGGGGGACTAGACCACCACAAACTATGAATTTTGATACTCAACGCAGGGATTGTTTACATATTAATATATACCAGCCCATGCTGGTCCTTAAGTTACGAAGGGGATTAATCGATCCATGGATATTCCAAGGTTCGCAGTCATACTTAAGTAGTGAGATCCTGTATCAATATATATATGGATGTTAATCTGGATATAGAGCCTCAGGATGCTCGGAACTTAGGTCACCTGTAGACGCATTTAACACTGGACGTAATAAGACTTTATCCGCACATGTAGATATATTTCAATGTTTATATAAGAGGAGAATAAAGAATAGAGTGAGCTCTAGAGATGAAGAGAGACCCAGAAGACATTCGTTGTGCTGTCAACATACGTGAACACCAAAATAACCATCGTCAATGGTGAGAATTTTGCACCTGAGTTATGATTATGCCAACAATTTGAGTCGGATCAACTATCCAAATGACTTAGGACTGACCAAGGAAGATTTATCTATGATATTTACACCAGGCGCAGCCATCATGATCTTGTCGGACAAGGTCGAAGCCGGTAGTCAACATTGGGAGCCATGAGCTCTCGAAGAATCGGAACAAAGGCGTGAGTGTGGTAACCGACTGAACCGAAGAGCTGCCCACGAGATAAACATCAACGAGGACCACACCAGATTATGGTGTCAGTCATCGTAATGTGATATCCAGGATGCGATATGGCTGGCATGCACGAGCCGGAATAGTTTCGTCGCAGGAGCCCAACTCAGCTAGAATTCTGAGAGTAAAGCCAGGAGACCATTAGATGAAGTATCTTCCCGGGATGCAAAATTTCCTTGCATGCGACCCCACGAGTCAGGCTGCCACAGCTTTCCACTCAATGGGACATGGATTGATAATCCACCAAAGTCCGGGCACAGCCAACAGAGCCGGAAGGCCGAAAGGAAGAGATAAGGAATCTTTCACCAAATCATGGAGGTGCAACCCGATCAACCATCGTCCTCCCCGACAGCGAAAAGGATCTTCAACCAGAGACTGCATCCACGACACCCGATCACAATTTCACCATGCTCTGCCTCCCTTTCCAGATCTTCCTCGGTGACCGAGAACCCTCGCTCATCACCACACCGACAACCGCGATACCAAACATCGCCATCAGCGCCCTCATCACACGCAAGGTCTTCCAAATCCACAACCTCCAGCCCAGTATGAAAGACATGCGCCGTTTTCTCCCGTTCCGCGACCTTTTGTCGATCGAGCCGCAGCGAGCGATCGTATTCAGCACGCAGGACGGGATCCGAGATTGTCTTGTAGGCAGTTGTGATCTGGTCGATGGTATAAGGGCCGGGCGAATCGGCACTGCCCGGAGCACTGGGTGTAGCTGTTGACCTTAGCGCCGTGTCCTTTGCGATCGCGCCTGCTTTATCTGGGTGGTGCTTCAGCAATGCCTTGTGGTATGCAAGCTTGATTTGCTGCTTTGAGGGCGCCGTAGACGAGGATGCCGCGAAAGGCAGCGAAAGGACCTCATAGAAGTCGATGCTGGACGTTGTTTCTGTCATTTCGGCGACTGAAAGTACTTTGTGCGGGGGCGTGGCTCAAAGCCGTGGTAGTCCTGCGGAGAGTCGGGCAGTCAGGGTGTGCGCATCAGGTTAGAATGAGCCTCGAAGTCTAATGAAGGGGCTCAAGTACCCATCAGACGTAATCCAAGAACCGTGAGGGTCCGGGGTAGTGCTGGAACGTGGGGTTGGTGGTTTTTAGCTGCGAAATTTTTGAGGTTTCCAAATGGCGGGTCAATCCCTGGCACGCCACTTAGGGTGAAGAACTCCCGGATCCCTACTCCGTACTTCATACTTGAGATCAACAACGTTCTTTTCCTTCACTTCCTCTGATGCCTGATCTTTTCTGAACCTGGACTTCTACACTGCGCGTTGAACTGACTTGCTTCACAAACCTCAAAGTGCTGGACACTGTACTAAGAAACCGACACGACCGGGAACAACGGCCACTATGTACTTTCTACCCAGAAACCAAACAATCCAGGGAATATGGGAGGAATTCAAAAGTTTCATTGAACAAGAGAAGAAATCTCAGTGAGTGATGACTCGGATATCAAGACAAATTAAGAAAAAAATTAGAACGAAAGACTCCAAAGCGAGGCTTTTACTCAGAGGCCTTGAAGACGAAGCGGTTTTCAGGCTTAACTTCGAAGGGAACACCGAGCTCGAGGAGCTTGACGAAGACATCCGAGAACTCCTTGAAGAAGACATCGCTGTCCTTAGCATAGCGCTCGACGTGGGGCTTGAAGCCCTTGTCCTTGACCAGAGCCATATCGGTGGGCAGCATCATCAGAGTGGAAGTGGTCTTGTCAGTGAACTGGGTTGGGCCGTTCCACTTCTTGTGGCTCCACTTCTCCTCAACAAGGAGACGGAAGAACTCGTTGCTGAAGACGGTCGGGCTGAAGTTCCAGGGGCCATCGAAGCCGGAACGATCGGTGTGGCAACGGCCTAGGGCGTGAGCACCGCACAGTGCGACCATCTCACGGTCATCGAAGCCCATGCGACCGAAGATGTCACGGATGTGGCGAGAGCCCTGAGTGGCGTCGGGCAGACGGCCGTCGGGGGTGCATGCGGCAACCTCCTTGTCCTGACGGCCGGGTCTCCAGGGGATGGAGGGACCACCAAGTTCTTGAATGGCACAAGCACCACCAAGAGTCCACAAATCAGAGTGCGAGATCCAGGGGAATTGAGCCTTGATTGGCTCGAGGAAGTCGCGAGCAGCCTTCAGACCGGCATTGGCACCGTGGTCTGACTCAGGAGCGAATCTCATAGTAGCGCCGTTGCTACCTCCAGTGCCGGTTTCCTTATCATAGGTACCGCTAGCGTGCCACGCCAGACGAACGAGAACCTGTTGTGCCCAAGAGGCTCGTCAGTACTTTGCACCTCTTATCAACAGAGAGGAAGTTACACATACGGGACCATAGCTGCCGTCATCATAATCGGTCTCGTTGGCAAGACGCTGGGCGACAGCCTCATATACCTTCTGGTAATCGGCCTGAGTAGGGACAAAGGGGCCCTTGGGGGAGGCGCCGTTCAGGTAGAAGTACACACCGCCAGCTCCAAGGGCACCGAGACCAGCCGCCCAGATGCCGAAGGATGAGCCAGACTTCTCAGAGCCAGCCTCTGATGAATATCCACGAGCAGAAGCCCGGAGGTTGGTGACCGCGAAGCGAGTGCTGCGTGCCGCCGGACGGAAAGAGGAGGTGGCCGGGGTCGAACGCAGGAAGGCCCGGGAAGCAGATCTGGCAGCCGAAGCCATTGTGTGATGTATAAGAGGAGAAAGGTCTAAAAGGTATAAGGGTGTTTCACAAAGGGAAGAAAGGAGAGTAAGTTTGGGGGAGTACAAGCACAAGAGACTGAGAAACGGAGAGGGGAAGGACCGGGGGACATTTGTACTCGGCGAATGCTCTCAGAACCAATACTGGCGGCACTGCGGTACAGCTACCGAAGCTGATGGAATCAGAGCCAATCAAGGGGGCCACATATGCCATTGCCTCGGCGTTGCGATGCATCTCCGCATTACAGGTCTATCACCCCGGGTTTCTCTGTTTGCCCTTGTTCGCTCCGTGGATTTTCTTTAAAACAAATCCACGACATGAGCCTAAGCTGAATTGGCTGCGGTTTACTTTCTACTGCACTAATTGCTTGTTCATCACACATAGCAACAGAACTTTACCAAAAATGTCATCGGAAGGGATTATTAACAGCAACACGCTGTTTGGTCAGTCGAGACCCACTACGGCTCCCTCCGACTTGCTTACTGTGTCGAACGGTCTGGTTCCCGAGTCGAGATCATCTTGATTATACACGGATGTAGATGATTAAGACGATGACTGTTTGGCATAATCTGGATTGTCTAGAGCACATCTCTCCAGGGCCGGAGTACAGCAAAATCCATATTTTGATGCCTCTGGCCATGTACCTAGGGACTCCGCATCACGCACGTTTGCCTACGATGTAGTTCGAATTTACTCCGTACTGCGTACCGTGAAGAGGAAGATGGCCAGGTCGCATCTTGAGATCCAGCCCTGGGGAGAGCTAATGGATAGTTGAGTACGGAGCTGGTGGCATTTTGGTCCATTGATTCCTCCATAGATGTCAACCGACGACGCCCATGACCTTACGTTTTACATCGATGGCGTCGCAAATTCGACCAAGAAGTACTCCGAACTCTGCACGGTGTGACTACCTTACTGTCTACGGAGTGCAGAGTATGGAATCTTTGATTGCACTTGACTATTTGCCAGCGATGGAGTAAACAATCACCAAGCCCAGCCAACACGTCCAGAGACGTCTCGTGGTCTCTCAGTGTGTTTACGGAGTAGAGAATGAACATGTAGCCCTGCTTGATCAAGAGGTCTATCGCGCCAGACATGGCGACTATCCTTCGCTTCAGCTAGCTCTTCGTGAGACATCAGAAACTTCGAGCATGACCGTCGAGCTCTTCTCTAAGTTATGCCCCTAAACGGAGGGTTTACACGTGAAACAGGTTAGAGCAAGAAGTGTGCGGTGGAACACAGGTAAATTTCTAAGCATTGATACTAGGGATGTCCGTCGTAAAAAAGTCCTGAAGTTCAATAGATGTGAACACCAGGGTGGAGTAGACGCAGCTCTGCTAAAAACTGTTTGGTTTTGATATTCCACGAACGAACGTTTAAAAAAACACCCAAGAGACGTCCAGTGCCACAAGAAGGCACCACGCGGGTTATGTGGTTTGAAGAGTACATCCAAGTCATGACGAATTCTCGACATTAAAGAATTGCATCGTGACTTGAGTTGCAACTCTTGATGATGGTCAAAGAAGAAGAATCTGCAGCGGAAAGAAGTTTTTATTTCCACCGGCACGTGAGCAGTCCAGGCCATCACATGACCAATCACATGACCACACGGGGCCCTTTATGTATCGAAAATTTTCGCCCAATTCATACTTTTTCTTCTTTACACTTTTTCGAACGCATAATCAACCGCCAATTCCTCATATCATAGGATGGTTGGTCATATTGGCGTACTAGAATAATACGGATAGCATAAGACTCCTCAACGGTTCCAATAGGCTTCGGCCTGGCGGCGCAGTGGTAGATGCGAGTCAATTGCCGTTCGGATATGCCAAATTTAAAGATACCTTTGTATTAGTCTATGGGAATGTACGGACTACGGAGTAACAAGACATTTGTTTCTCACGTTCTAACGTTCTAGAATACAATTTCCGCAAGAAAGTGGTCTTCCAAGCTCCATTAAGCTCAATAAGCTTAACGGGAGGTACACAGAGTAGTCCGGAGTACGGAACACTTGGGTCTCAGCCCCTCGAACATGAGACCTCTGAACCTCTCCGCCCGGCAACCTGATTTCTTCCCCTATTCCCTCATTTTTTTTCTTGGCCACTCCTTCTTCTTGTATATTCTTGTAATTGTATACTTTATATTTTGCATTATGCCGTCGGGCATCAGCAAGCGCCAGCAGGCGCGGAATGAAAAGACCCTTGCGGAGCTGATCCGGACCGTTCCTGGCAATGACCGATGTGCCGATTGCGATGCCTTGACCCCAGGTTCGTTCCCCAGACTCTATGGATGATCATTTTCTAACCTTAGATAGGATGGGCAAGCTGGAACGTATGCTGTCGCCTCTGTTGCCATTCGAACCCCAAGCACTGACACCTTCAATAGATGGGTATCTTCCTTTGCATGCGTTGCGCCGCTCTGCACCGGAAGCTAGGCACACATATCTCCAAGGTCAAGTCATTGAGCATGGATACTTGGAACACAGAGCAGGTTGATGTGAGTGTGACACAATATACTGTGGTATATAAGCTGACGAGTGACTTCCCAGAGCATGAAATCGCATGGAAACCTCCTTATGAACAAGATTTACAACCCAAGAGGCATCAAGCCAGCGATCCCCACCGACGTCGACGAAGCCGATGCATGCATGGAGAGGTTCATCAGGCAAAAATACCAGCACCGTTCATTGGAAAATGGAAAGCCGAAGCCGCCGAGCCGAGAGGAATCGAGCTATTCCAACCCTAGAGCCCAATCACCCATCGAAAGCCGAGCACCTAGGGACTACGACAGATCCCCAGAAGGATCACCTCCCCCTCTTCCACCCAAGTCGGGCAAATTCTTCAAGTTCGGTCTTCGCTCGTCATCCTCGACATCGAACCTACGACGGTTCGGCAACAGCAAACCAAAGGTTACATCGCCTACTTCGGATAATGGAGCTTGGTCACCACCACCGCCGCCATCTAGGAGGACAACGGGTCTTGGTGCGCCTGTTGTCGATGTAACAACGGCATCTTTGGAATCTAAGATGGCGGTATTGCAGGAGATGGGATTCACAAACGATCGACGCAACGAGATGGTACTCAGGGGACTCAATGAAGATTTGGATCGGGCCGTTGAAACCTTGGTCAGGCTGGGTGAAGGAAGCAACCCAGTCTCTAGGTCCCGGACTCCGGCCGGCATAAGCTCTGGCGCAACGCGTGAGACGACTTCCAAACCACAGACAGCCAGCCAAACCCTCAAGGTCTCCGACAACTCATTCCCTGACATGCCTTCCAATAATCCATTCGACCGAGTGGTCTCAAACCCCATACCTCAGCAATCACAGACCGCTTCATACAACCCATTCGATCAACCGAACGCAGCGCAGACATCCACGCAGCCGTTGGAATCTTCCTTCCAAGGCTTGCAAGTCTCTCAGCCACTGTTCCCTCACTCTACTGGTGGATACCCTCATCAGGCAAGCTCCATGCAACAGCCTCCATACCAACAGCCTTTCACCCCTCCGATCCCATCATCATTCTCTCAGTCACCCTACGTTGCATCCCCTCAGCCGATGGACAACAGTTTCAACCCATTCAACCAGCCCGCGCCACCCCAGCAGCCGCAAACTCAAGCTCAGCCAGCCCCCGGTACTCCGCAGACGAACCCATTCTTTAATACTCCGTCGCACAGCCAGACCATGCAGCCGCAAGGCCCGCAAATGGCCCCCTCGGCGCCGACTTTCAGTGCTCAGCCCCAGCCTCATCACGCCAATACCATGCCAGCTGTCTCTTCTGCATCACCGTTTGGATCTAATCCTTTCTACGGACAGCAGCAACAGCAACATCAACAGCAGCAGGTACCAAACACCGCCTCGGGAGCTTACAACTTCTTCCAGCAGGGACCAGCTGCAAACCAACAGAATGGTAGCAGCTTCCCGGGCCAGTTCCAGGCGAATCAGCAGCCCCAGCAACCGCAACAACTCAAGCCCCAGCCCACAGGGATGGATAAAAACAGCATTCTTTCATTGTACAATATGGCCCCTTCACAAAATAATATCCCACCCCCCACCCAACAATACCAACAAAACCAGCCCCCCCAGCCCCAGGCTGCCACTGGAACGAACCCTTTCCCGCAATCAACCAACCCATACGCTTCCACATTGCAACCCCAGCAGGGCTCTACCTTCCAGCAACAAAACCAGCCACAGCAGTTTTTCCAACACCAGCAATCCCAACCACAGCAGGCCTTCCAGCAGCCTCAGCCTCAGCCTCAGCCTCAGCCTCAGCCTCAACCGCCTGCTCCAGCTAACAATCCATTCTTTAGCAATGGCTCTACAGGAGCGACCTCAGGCGCCCCTACAGGAGCAGGCTCCGGCCTTGCCGCCTTGGCAGGGATCAATTCCTACCAGCAGCAGCAGTCTTCAGGGCCAGGAGTTGGAGACACGAACGGAAGTGTTCAAAGCCCATCCTTGGGAACAACTACCTCTCCATTTGGGGGATCCAACGCCTCTCCATTCGCAGGAATGGCACCTCCATTCGCAAGCACGAACAAATCCCCGTTCTCCGGCCCACCTCCCACAAACTCGGCTTTTCGTGGAACACACATGAGCCAGCCGAGTGTTGACGTGAGTGGTCTGCAGAAAGGGCGCCATAGCCCTGATGCTTTCGCAAGCCTGAGTGCTCGCTACTGATTTGAACGTGACTTTGCCTCTCCTATCCCGTGAAAACGACAACCCCGGCCTCCTTTCAATGGAAATTGGCCTAGCAATGTGAATATGGATGTTGACATTTCTTTTCATTTATTTTGATACCGACTTCGGTAATGACTTGGATATAGAAGGTTGACGAAGACATCTTACGCGCGTGCATATCCGGCGCATCTGGTTCTCATTGTCGACTTGCGTTTCACCTATTACTTTCCTTAATACTTTCCTTTACTTTCATTTTTGTCTCACTGCCCCGATTGGGCTTATTCCTGTACGTAAAATCTTTCTTATCTCTTTACACCTGGTTTTTACAACTGGTAGTGGTTAAAATGCACATATTTTGGGTCAAGTTATATAGTGCCCAAGTTCATGGAACTAATTTTAGACAAGAAATAAAGTGTAAATTCAAGAAATGTATCTAGATTATTCTGAACAGAAAGTCAGAAAAGGCCACAAGAGGGCAGGTATCAAGTAGAAGTAACAAAAAGCAACACAGATCAAGAAAACAACTCTCGCTCAGTCGGAACACGTTTCTTGTTCCAGAAAGGAACCCACCCCGACCACCAAGAAGAGGTCTGGCCATATCCAAAGTTATCTAAAAAGATTTCCCAGCGCGACTTCTGTCTCCAAGGCCAAAAGGAGGACTTGGAAGAATTCCAAGAAAAGAGTGATTGGACCGAGCGACGCCATGAAGCAAACGTGGATGGAGGTGATGGTGGGAACAACGAAGGAAGAAACCTTCTCCATCCACTGTTTTGCTGCCTGCTCGCCTGCTTCCTGAAAGATTCTGTAATGCGGTCAAATTGCTTGTCTCGACTCTGCTGGATGAGACGGGATTGTTGCTCGCGCCAGTCGTCTTGCTCCTGCGAATCCAGACACCAGACAACAATGTCGCCACGACGCCGCGTATCGTCGTGCCAATCGGTGTTGTGGGTGCGCCAGCACTCGTCGTAGGTTGAATGGCGCAGGAGCGGGCGAAGGGTTGGCTCAAGCGCAGCAAAGAAGACGAGGTAGTCTGGCCAGTCGTACAGATGTGGCTCGGGACTTTCTTCCCTCAGCTTGTAGCTGGGAGTATTGGGGGGATATCGGAGACCACCGGCCATATTGGCGCGCAAGAAAGTTGCTGGGTTGTCGTAGAACTGATCTGCTTCGTCTCGATATGTGGCCTTTTCGGTTGCGTTCATGTTAATTGGTGGTTCGCAGGATAGAGCCCATGCGTTGATTGTTGGGTATACAAGATGGGATCTCCAGGGGGTGCTGTGGCATGGCATTAAAAAGCCTACATTGATGCCGACGTCTTTGACAGGTTCTGGGCCCCATCTTGTGGGTTGCAGGCCGTGTTTCTCTTGTTGCCCACGAAGGTAGGAAAGGACCTTTGATGGCCCGGTTGCATGATAGAGGGTGGTGTAAAAAGCTACAGCCACATTCACAAGCACAAGGAAGATCAGAATCAGTCTGCGGGGCTCGGTTGGGTGAGGCCGAGAGTAGATGGCCGGGTAGAAGAATTGCACCAACGGGGGTGCAGCCAATATGTGAAGCAATGGTAGCAATGGGTAGATAAATCGCACTTCCTTGTGCGAAATGAAAGAAAGAGCCAGAGGCATTGCCACACATACTGTAGCCAGCTGGACCCGAATCGCGGACTGCAGGCTGTCTCCCACGAGAGAATTGCGCGAATTCAGGGTGCGATACAGTCCAACGATCGCAAAGGGTAACAATGTGGTCAGCAGAAGTGGGTAGCCCTCTGTGGCATAATAATGCCAATTATTGCTGCCATAGAAGACGGCCAGTGACTGCGCGATGTTAAAGTAAAGGAACCTGAGCGGCGGAAAGGTCCAGAGTCCGTAGAACAGACGGTCTGCAACAGAGGACACTGCTAAGATCGCCGATCTACAAATCATCAAATCAGCCGAGTTTTGCCCAAATGGTCAGAACACATACCCGCAAATGGCGACCTCAACGATAAGGATTCTGCGCTGGGCCCAAGTGGTCCGCATCCAAGCGATGCTGGCCAGAGTTGCCCAGACAAGAACATTTGTCGGCCGCAAGATACAGGCCAGTGCTGCCAGTGGCAAGCATTGGTGGAGGCTGCAAGATGCGTCAGCGGCGGCCCTGATCATGCGCTCTGGCCCCTTCTTTAAGGCGGGCTTTCCAGGGCTAGGGTCGGTTGAAGGTCTGGTCCATTTCCATGGCCATAGCTCTAGTGCGACAATTGTCAGGGTGGTTTCGAGACAATTGGACAACGTTCTGGTGGAGCAGAACCACTGCCAGGGATTTAGGACTGTCGCAGCCAGCTATCACACAATTAATATATGGTATTATAGGGGTGTGCTGTGATGTCTTGGAATAAATCCACATACTGTTGCCCAAGCCCCGCGGGAGTCATTTCCGTACACGCGCACTGCGAGCTTCCAGGTGTAGAAATCGCCGATAGCCGCGATAACGGCTTGCGCTGTCTTCGGGGCTGCAATGAGGAGTTCAGCACGCGTCGCAGGGGAAACATGAAGGACGGCCGCGAAATAAGCCGCAATTTTGTAAAGTGCGGCGAACAGGAGGGGGTGTAGCGAGGATCGTAGTTGGTGTCTCCATTCCTAAGCAATCCGAGGTCAGACATCAACCCAGCTACACGGTTGTGACGCGATCTCACTCACCCACGTTATCCAGGCCCCTTGATCATCTCCAAAGGCAATTTGCCAAGCGGGCTCTAGCGATTGGAAATATTCATCTGGCTGAAAGAAGGTTTGCACGGCGAAAGCATTGACAAGACGGTAAGCGATAAGGAGGAGGAGGATGGTTTGTTCAGGTCTGCGCGGGGGTTGATGTATCGGACGGCGGGGAGATGGGAAGGCCATGCTGGAGATTCAAGAGACAGTGAGCAATGAACCCTGCATTGCTCACATGGGTGTGCGCGCGTGTGTTGTATATGCGGTTTGAGAGACTCGGCGCGGGAGTCGTTTGCCCGCGGCTCCGCTCTTGTCTTTGTTTACCTGGCATCATCTATTTGTTAATTGGATCCCTCCTTTGAACATATTTGAGGTGATATCTACATTGAGAATTCATATACTCAGAATTAACATATTAAAAAAGGACATGAGTACAGAACACTCTGTGAATCAATATCCTTCAATAACCGCACTATGACGTGCATGTCTCTATGTCTCTGGAACAGGGCTTCTCCTCGACCTACCTAATTAGAAATTAGACCAATGGGTAATTTTGATAATCAGCCCAGGTGATTCGAGTCGCACGAATCAGAAATGGGGAAAAACAAAGGGATGGGGGCGTGTAGGGTAATCCTGCGCATAGGGAACAGCGTCGGCACGACCTGTACTTAGCGGTCGAGCGCTGAGCTGGGTCTAACACTTAACGGCATAGCGTTGGAGAGACCTATGAGATTCCACGGTTCTTCCTTGGTGACTGGTCTTGTCCAATCTTTCCTGAGAACTTATTTATACCTTCAATTCCTCAATGCTGGGAGGGTTTTTCTTTTCTCTTTTTCTAAATAACTTCCAAGGTTCTTTCCTCCGCCTTTCTTTTTCACCTCTTAGCGCTCCCCGCAATAATGACTGCCAACGGATCTACCAACGGATCCACCAACGGGTCCTTCTCCCACTACCATGCTGCCTCTTCAGTAGAGGCCATTGACTCGGAGAAGCAGTATGCCGCTCACAACTACCACCCTCTACCAATTGTCTTTGCCCGAGCCCAGGGTACCACGGTATGGGATCCCGAAGGCCGGGAATATCTCGACTTCCTGTCTGCGTACTCCGCAGTGAACCAAGGCCACTGCCACCCCAAATTGGTGGCTGCTCTCGTGGATCAGGCATCACGTCTGACCTTGAGCTCGCGCGCATTCTACAATGACGTCTTCCCTCGCTTTGCCCAGTTTGTTACCAGCTACTTTGGCTTCGACATGGTCTTGCCCATGAACACTGGCGCTGAAGCCGTGGAGACGGGAATCAAAATTGCCCGCAAATGGGGCTACAAGGTCAAGGGCATTCCGGAAAACAAAGCATTGGTCCTGAGTGCTGAGAACAACTTCCACGGTCGCACGGTAAGTCGTTCGTGATCTGTAACCTGGGACTTTGGTGGCTGACCCCGCGCCCCCCTTGCATTAGTTCGCCGCCATTTCCCTATCGTCTGACCCGGAGTCGCGCGAACACTACGGTCCTTATCTGCCCGGTATCGGATGCACCATTCCAGGAACTACCAAGCCCATTGCATACAATGATAAGGCTGCCCTGCGCGAGGCCTTTGAGGCCGCCGGCCCTAACCTCGCTGCTTTCCTCGTCGAGCCCATCCAGGGTGAGGCTGGCATCGTTGTGCCCGACCCAGAGTACCTGCAGGAGGCTCGCGCACTCTGCGATAAGCACAAGGTGCTCCTGATTTGCGATGAGATTCAGACTGGTATTGCTCGCACGGGCAAGCTGCTCTGCCACGAGTGGAGCGGGATCAAGCCCGATCTAGTCTTGCTCGGCAAGGCTATCTCAGGTGGTATGTACCCTGTCTCTTGTGTGCTGGGCAGCAAGGACGTCATGCTCACGATCGAACCCGGTACCCACGGTTCGACCTACGGTGGTAACCCACTTGGATGCGCGGTTGCCATTCGCGCGCTCGAGATAGTCCGTGATGAGCAGATGGTTGAGCGCGCTGAGAAGCTCGGCCACGTGTTCCGGGAGGGTCTGGCGGCCATCCAAAGCCCTCTTATCGAAACTGTGCGCGGAAAGGGTTTGCTCAACGCTATTGTCATTGATGAATCCAAGACCAATGGTCACTCTGCTTGGGATCTCTGCATGTTGATGAAGGAGAAGGGTTTGCTGGTATGTATCCAAATTTGCCCTATTCCTCTCGGTCTTACCCAGCATCTAATTCGTTTCTCTAGGCCAAGCCCACCCACCAGAACATCATTCGTCTTGCACCCCCTCTGGTGATCACTGAGGCCGAGATCCAGAAGTCTCTTGAGATCATCAAGTCTGCTGTGGACGAGCTTCCTAATCTCAAGGGTGCTGCTGAGAACCACGTCATCCCCCCTCCCGAGAAGAAGGTCAAGATTGGGGTCGAGAACTAAATAAGCCGCATGGGAGCGAATCTTCCGACGGAGATCGCAACAAAAACCCCCGAGCTGCGGATACACCATCTGCCACCAGCCTTGCATGGAATACGGTAGACATAGCCCCTTGACGCTCACATTGGACGCACAAAGGCGACCAGCCTGGTACACTACACACCTGTACGGGATATTTTGAGCTATTGCGAGTCGGCTTGTCATTCCACGACTTGACGATTGAATGATTCTTTCTTTTGAAATTCTGTGCCATAGCAACGAATAGATACAAAATGACAGTCTTATTCGTCTTTCAATTCAGCCCCCAAGTAGAATTTTGACCCGGAGTTGACAGGTGATTACTAATACATCGGTGAAACGGGGACGGGCAGCCCGCGATGCCGACCCCCGATGCTTAACTGCAGTATAATGGCCCCTTAAGCGAATCCGACGGTTATCTCATGACTAGATCTGTTTATCCGGTTCTGACTATTTCGATTTTCTTACGGCGCAATGAGTCGGGATTGAACCCCTCAGTTGGCTTATAAGACACTTCCCTCTCACGCGGTGAATGAATTTACTTCGCAAGGCCGCATTCGTTCGATATCACATACCTCTCCAGGGCTCCGCCCCACACCTACATCAACGCTAGCTGCTTGTTTCTTTCACTTCACATTCGTGTTGAGTCAGCCCTCAAGTTTCCCAGGGCTAGCGAAACATCATGTCTCCGCCCGAACCGCTACATCAAGTAGTGGTAGCGGACAATGATAAGCTCCAGGCGCATGCCGAAAGCGCAAGATCGACATCCAACGACGAAGCCAAAGGGCCTGAGCTGGACGTCCAGAAGAAAAAATGGTATCGCAATCTGAACCCGATTCGGTTACAGAAGACACCACCGGTGCCAGAAGAGCGATCGGTGTCTCGCGAGCACGGCGCCTCATTTTTCAGCATTGTCACTTTCCAATGGATGTCCCCACTGATGAAGGTCGGGTATCTGCGACCACTCGAGCTGCAAGATATCTGGACAGTGAATCCAGATCGGACCGTTGAAGTATTGTCCGGCCGACTGGATGCTGCGTTGCAAAAACGCACCGAGAGCGGGTCCAGCCGCCCACTCGTTTGGGCCTTGTACGACACTTTTAGGTTTGAGTTCATTCTCGGTGGAATTTGTCAGCTGTTCAGCTCGCTTTTGATGGTCTTCGCGCCGTATCTGACGCGATATCTGATTGCCTTTGCTACCGAAGCTTATGCGGCCGAAAAGGCGGGTCACGCCGCGCCTCATATCGGCCATGGCATGGGTTTCGTCGTTGGAATTACGTGCATGCAGGCGATCCAGAGTTTATGCACGAATCAATTCCTGTATCGCGGACAGATGGTCGGTGGCCAGATTCGTGCGGTGCTAATTTCGCAGATCTTCAACAAGGCTATGAAGTTGTCTGGCCGTGCAAAGGCTGGTGGCCAGGCGACATCGCAAGAGACTAAGGCGCTGGAGGCTACAAAAGAAGCTTTGATGAAAGCCGAGGGAAAAGACCCGAAGCCTGATCCAAAGAAACCAAATGCTGATTCTGCACTTCCTATTGTTGATGGAGTTGCTGGAGACGGTCTAGGATGGAACAATGGCCGCATCACTGCTCTGATGAGTATTGATGTGGACCGTGTTAATCTGGCCATGGGAATGTTCCATATGATCTGGACCGCTCCCCTCTCCATTATTGTGACATTGGTTCTCCTCCTGGTCAACTTGGGCTACAGTTGCTTGTCTGGATACGCACTGCTTGTCATCGGAGTTCCCTTCCTGACTCTCGCGGTACGATCCTTGATCGTGAGACGACGCAACATCAACAAAATCACCGACCAGCGAGTCTCGCTGACCCAAGAGATTCTTCAGGCCGTGCGATTTGTGAAGTATTTCGGCTGGGAGAGCAGTTTCCTAGCCCGTTTGAAAGAAATTCGCGGCCGAGAGATCCGTTCCATCCAGACGCTGTTGGCGATTCGAAATGGCATTCTCTGCGTGTCTTTGTCCATTCCCACTTTCGCCTCGATGCTAGCGTTCATCACTTACTCGCTCACAAATCACAACCTGGACCCCGCCCCTGTTTTCTCTTCCCTCGCTCTTTTCAATTCGCTACGAATGCCGTTGAACATCCTTCCACTCGTCATTGGTCAAGTCACTGATGCCTGGACCGCTTTCAAACGAATTCAAGACTTCCTTCTTGCGGAGGAGCAAAATGAAGACATTGAGCGAGACGAGAGCATGAGCAACGCGATCGAAATTGAAAATGCATCATTCACCTGGGAGCGTCTCCCTACGGAAGAGAAAGAGGCCACCAAAGCCGAGAAAAAGGCTGCTCACGACAAAAAAGAAAAAACCAACCCAGACGAGAATGAAGCAGCCGAGACCCCCACCGAACCCTTCAAACTCCACGACATGACTTTTGAAGTTGGCAGGAACGAACTGCTCGCTGTGATTGGAACAGTCGGTTGTGGCAAGAGCTCCTTGCTTTCAGCCTTGGCAGGAGACATGCGTGTGACGAATGGCGCAGTCCGGCTTAGCACCACCCGTGCGTTCTGTCCGCAGTATGCCTGGATTCAGAATACGTCTGTCAGAAATAATATTTTGTTTGGAAAAGCATACGACGAGTCATGGTACGAACGGGTCATTGATGCGTGTGCTCTGACTCCCGATCTCGAGATCCTCCCTAATGGCGATCAGACCGAGATCGGAGAACGTGGGATAACGGTGTCCGGGGGCCAAAAGCAACGTTTGAACATTGCACGAGCAATCTACTTCAATGCTGACTTGGTACTGATGGATGATCCATTGTCGGCTGTCGATGCGCATGTCGGTCGGCACATCATGGACAAGGCTATCTGTGGCCTGCTCAAGGACCGTTGCCGTATCCTGGCCACTCACCAGCTGCATGTGCTGAATCGGTGCGACAGAATCATTGTTATGGACAAAGGACGTATCGATGCGATCGACACGTTTGAAAACCTCATGCGTGACAACGAAGTGTTCAAAAGATTGATGTCTACATCTCGCCAGGAGGATATGGAAGAGGAAGAGACCGAGGCTGTTGATGAAGTCACCGAAGAAAAGATAGGCGAGGAGAAGACTCCTCAAAAGGCAGCTTTAGCAAAGCCTGCACCCGGCTTGATGCAACAAGAAGAAAAGGCTACATCCTCTGTCGGGTGGAGTGTATGGAAAGCGTACATCCGAGCATCTGGGAGCTATCTCAATGCCATTGCAGTGTTCATCTTACTCGGTCTAGCCAATGTCGCCAACATCTGGACTAGTTTATGGCTCTCATACTGGACTTCTAACAAGTACCCGTCACTTTCGATGGGCCAATACATTGGAGTCTATGCGGGATTGGGTGCCGGGTTTGTTGTCTTAATGTTCACCTTTTCAACATACGTGACGACTTGTGGCACAAACGCGAGCAAAACTATGCTCCATCGCGCGATGAACCGCGTGCTCCGCGCTCCCATGTCCTTCTTCGATACCACACCCCTGGGACGAATTACAAACCGTTTCTCAAGGGACATCCAGGTGATGGACAATGAGCTTTCAGATGCAATGAGAATTTACGCCCTGACCATGACTATGATTGTATCCATCATGATTTTGATTGTCGTTTTCTTCTACTATGTGAGTAACTGATCCTGCCGATTGCGACTGTCTGTATAGAGTGACATTCTAACTTCGTACAGTTCATTATCGCGCTCGTGCCTTTGTTTATTCTATTCCTTATAGCTTCAAACTACTACCGAGCGTCTGCGCGTGAGATGAAGCGCCACGAGGCACTGCTGCGATCCACAGTCTACGCCAAGTTCGGTGAAGCCATCACCGGTGTTGCATGCATCCGAGCATATGGTGTGGAGGGTGAATTCCGGCGCAGCATTCGCGAGTCAATTGATGTGATGAATGGTGCCTATTTCCTAACATTCTCTAATCAGCGCTGGCTCAGTATTCGTCTAGATGCTGTTGCTGTCGCATTGGTCTTCGTGACTGGAGTTTTGGTGGTTACATCTCGTTTCAATGTCTCCCCCAGTATTTCTGGGTTGGTGTTATCTTACATTTTGGCTATTGCTCAGATGTTGCAGTTCACTGTGCGCCAGCTGGCCGAGGTTGAGAACAACATGAATGCCACGGAACGAGTCCATTACTATGGCACCGAGCTGGAAGAGGAAGCAACTTTACATCAAAGGGAGGTCACCGAAAGCTGGCCTGAAAAGGGTCGAATTGAGTTCAGTAACACGGAAATGCGATACCGGGCAGGTTTACCTCTTGTTCTCAAGGGTCTCTCCATGGACGTCCAAGGAGGCGAGCGGGTCGGAATCGTTGGTCGCACTGGCGCTGGAAAGTCGAGTATCATGTCCGCACTCTTCCGCCTTACTGAACTATCCGGAGGAAGCATCAAGATCGATGACATTGACATCTCTACTATCGGTCTTCACGACCTTCGGTCCCGCCTAGCTATCATTCCTCAAGACCCAGCCCTGTTCAAGGGCACCATTCGATCAAACCTCGACCCGTTCAATGAACACAATGACTTGGAGCTGTGGTCTGCACTTCGCAAAGCGTATCTAATTGACCAAGACATCGAAGCCACAGATGAGCGACCGGACAGCGAGGCTGTGAGCGGGACCACAACCCCAGCTTTGGATGACACCAAACCGCGCCCGTCGAACAAACTCACCCTCGAGTCACCCGTCGACGAAGAAGGCCTCAACTTCTCTCTAGGTCAGCGGCAACTGATGGCACTCGCGCGCGCGCTGGTTCGCGACGCACGCATCATTGTCTGTGACGAAGCAACCTCCTCGGTTGACTTTGAAACAGACCAGAAAATCCAACGGACAATGGCACAGGGCTTCGACGGAAAGACATTGCTCTGTATTGCGCATCGCCTGCGTACGATCATCGGCTACGATCGCATTTGCGTCATGGACCAGGGTCAGATCGCTGAGATGGATAGACCGGTCGTCCTATGGGATAATCCTGATGGCATCTTCCGTGCCATGTGTGACCGCAGTGGAATCACACGTGAAGACATCCTGGCCTCGGAGTGAGAACACGCTGGATCGAAGCCTCTATACATAATACACCTAGTTAATACATCGAGAGAAGAAAAACACTAATATAGATTGATATCAAATTTCGCAAAACAATCAACCGAGCAAATCCTAGGAACAACGAAATTCTAGCACTGATCACTTTGATTATCATCCCGAGGGCTCCTTGTCCAACTCGCATATCTGCCCGATTCCCATCGTTCGGATCCAGTCAGAAGATTCATCCCCCGTCCACTCAGCAACATCCCTCTATTGTAGGTTCGGTGGATAGAATGGCACAGACGTACTGCGTGATGGCCGGGTTGAGTCGTGGACGACGGGTTCTGCAGGTGACTATGGCGGCAAATTCAGGTGATATTTTGCTCTGTGTTATAACTTGAGGTTGAACTGAAGAAGAAGTCAAAATGGTGGAGGTGGTGCCCCGTAGATCGTCAAATACTCCGTAGATCGGATATAAGATCCATGTGAGATGAGTGTGGTATGGACAATTTGGATTTCAGTCTGTTAGCCTTGGAAATAGAGAGAACCCAAAAGCACAGAGTAGGGACAAGCAATTGTTTTTGTTTTCCATCAGCAATTTTCAAGATTGCGCCTCAATACACGAAAACTAGCCTTACAGAACCTGTGAATCAATGTGGAATAAGAGACTGAAGACATTTTGACCACGCAAGATCCGCAGTATCGTTTCAACATATAATGCAAAATACAAAAACAAATAATATCAAGTACAAGACATGAAGCAATGAGTAAACCCTGAAGTGCCAACATGGTCCAAGACAAGGTCGTCTCTCCGCAGCCAGTCTGCCAGCATGTTGGTACAATGATCAACATGTTCAAGGTCACCAAGCATAGTGTCAAGGCGATCGCCTCTCATATGAACTTCGTGGCCCCTTCGAAGAAGATACAGACAATGAACCAGATGTTCGCGAATGGAGGTCCAATAACGGGCAGGGTTGCGACCGACCTCCTCGTAATCTATCATCTGCTGTGTCATGGCTTCATCATAGTAGTAGACAAACGGCTTTCCATTATTGAAAGTGGAAAATTCATGGGTGAAGTCTCGTGGACACTCCTTGTGAAGCCAGCAGCCGGCTAGAGGGTCATAGGCGCAGCCAAGCTCTTCGGCCTCGGTGGTGGAATTGCCACACGAGTAGGTTGTTCGTGTTTTTGTCGGGAGACATTGCCTTTGGCCTTGCAGTTCGATGGGATAGACGGCTTTTCCAGTATGTCCCGTAGGAGTGGGCATCGGGCTCTTCATCACAAGTATTTGGCGAAAGGGCTCCACAGTGATCGCTGTGATGACAGCGACAACCAGGAGCATCAGAACGAGGAGAAGGCCGGTGATTGTTATTGCAGCAAGGTTTCTTTTCAAGAATCCTGAAAGCCCCTGACGGGATTGTCGGCTCGTGATAGTGACATCGCTGTCACCATCGGCATCCGTCTTGGGCAATCGCTCGTAGTTGCGTGGGAACATGGCCACCAGAGAAGATCTGATCAGGAGAGAGCAACAAACGAGTGTACTGCAAGGTGGAAGAAGAGGAAATTCTCTTTCTTGCCAGAGCAAAGAAAAGCCTGACGCACATGATGTCTATTGAGGACTCGGGCTTATTGAGATTGAGACAAAGAGTAGATGATTAGATCAAGCCAGTTCGAATGTCATATCAGGACGATCCAACCAAATCAATAGGATTTTTTTCCAAATCTGGTGTTGAATAAGGCATATGTCACTTGGCCCCCGAAATCGAGCTGGGGTCAAACAAAGAAACCCTGCTGCCCGACAGACATGCTCAACAAAATTCTCGGGATTTTATTTCGAGTCACTTGGCAAATAATCAAATGGCAACGGACAAACCTACGAACCGGAAATAATGACCACGGCATTTTATGGTCGGCCACCTGACTAGAATTCTAACACCACATTGCGAGTGACTGTGTTAATTCATGATAAAGAGTAGTATGGACTTAGGGACTTGAGATTAGCTTGCTATATTCGAACAGTTTTCGGTAGATTTCACTTTCATCACATTCACAAGATTCGAAACAAACATTCACAGATAAAAGTCATGTACAAATGAAATAGAAAGACAAATTTACGAGTCCAACGAAAGGGGCGACTCAAGATTGCCACATTGTCGTCGCATTCATGCAACCGTAACAGTCTGGTTGAAAGATTCCAGGAAGGCAGACGGACCGGCCTGTAAAACGAAAGATCAGCATATGTAAAATTGGCAATGTGACAGATGGGAAAGGCATACTCCGATCAAAGTAGCATGAGCAACATTGATTTGACCCTTGCCCTTGGCAGCCGATTCAGGCACAGTGACACTGAAGTTCTCGTAGGGGGGCAGGTTGGACTCATGGTAAACGGGCTTGAAGGGACCGTTGTACAAGACCTTGCCCAAGACATCCTCTGCAGTGTGGCATGGTGCATCTACACAAGAGGTAAAGCCGATCACAACTCCGATCTCGGTGGAGCCGCTCAAGGAGTTCTGCATATTTGGTTAGTTTGACAACGTTGGGATTTCATGCGCTATGCAGCCGAGATTAAAACTCACGGGACGTTGAATCTGCACGACAATTTCCTTTCCGGCTGTAACATCTTGATTCTCGGTGGGAAGTCCAATCTGAGCGCGTTGGGCGAGAGCCGAGATGGCGAAGAGGGCAATTGAGTACAGGAACTTCATCTTGATATTTGATCGTGGAAGAGTGTTGCGATTGTGGTATTAGGAGAAAGAACGAAGTTTGGAATTGACGATGAGGTTTGATTTGAAGTGAATTTCTGGAATCGGATACACCCATGGCTTTTATAGTCTCCAGAGAGACAGAGTGAGATTTTTCAGCCAGGATTCAACGAACAGCCGATGAACATGATTCGTCGTGTCTCTGCAAGTTTCAGTAAAATGCATGGCTAAGCCGTGGACGAGTGCCTAAGACTAATGGCGATTTGGCAATTGGAGTGAAGATCCTGAAGATCCCCCATTATTGTGGAACCGCCTTGCATGTCCTTGCATCTCCAAATAAGCAAGTTGACCAGGGCTAGCTAGCTGTCAATGGTGACAGCCGGCAATAAAATCCAAAAAGGCTCAAACCGCAAGGGTGCCATTGAGAAATTTGAATTCATCCTAGATTAATTGTTCATGTGAATTGGTCTTCAAAATTAGCAGCCCAAGGAGAGTTACCGACCCACAATGTCCAGGTGTGGATGGACAGAAAGAGATGCTCAGACCATCTTCGAATCATTGCTTCAGCCTGCAGCTTCGAAAACCGATGCACAGTAACAAAAATAGAACACATCCACGGGTGATGCATCAGGCGTCCAGCACAGAGCACATAATCAATACAGTGATTCTACTTTCGCGGGAAACCCGGAACTCCGGGTATCAAGGGTAATGTGAGACACCTGAATTGATCATTATGATGATGACTCTGACTGAAACCTCCAAGGGAGGACCAATCGACCCAACCTAGGTCACGATTAGGCGACCTGCATTGTAGACTTTAGTGTCGCGTGCTTGTAGGGGGGTTGTTGCATGCCCACCGAGGCGCTGCGAAACCTACAGGGATATCATAATCCTCCGACTCGTCAATTTGAGCTTCGGTCGATCAAGGCAGCAAGTTATCCCCACAAAATAGATACCACGCCAAGACTGGGGTTCCCGTCGCACGGAAGGCCCGATCTAGATCTTATCTTATGCAACTAAAATAGACAGGTCCAAAATGGCCAATGCAGTGCGGGTTATCGATTCCAAATGACATTAGAGTCAAGAAATTTTCAAAATATGCGTTTTGTTGCATTGTAATAGCTTCACCCAATTCGGTATTCGCCCGTTCACTTCGAATGTAAACCCGGGGAATTTCTGTCCGTAGGGAAGCGATGGCATCGGCGATCCCGCCCAGAGATCGGCCATTAACATCGAATTTGGCTGAAATTGCACGGCATTTATCTTGTGAGATTTGCTTGTTCCCCTCAGACACTTGATATCCTATTTCCCATTTTGTTGAGCATATCATAACCCCTGGCAATCATTTGGAGCGCTGAATTCACTGTATCTGATGTCTTCCAAATTGAAGGGGGCACCAGACAGAAGAAAGGCAGCTCGAGATCGAGTGACGACCACTGCGTTCGGCTAGAAACACAGATCGAATTTGAAATTGACTGGGATCACACTCTCCCAAGTGCCCGATAAACCCGAAGCGGAAAGAACGATATGGGCTTTTGCTGTGAGCCACGAGCGCCTATTGCTGCTCCTTGTCCATCTTGATAGCTTGAGGCTGACCAATTCGTATCCTTAAAAGGGGATGCAAAGAGCACCCATCCACAGTGTGATCCCCGAGAACTTTGTGGAACGGGCAATAATGGCGAAGCATCCATTCAGAATCCGGAATATGGGATGCATACAACTTCAGATTCCAGGTTTCTGCGGGAAGATGTAGGCGACGAGCTTCGTGCGCCTGAAAGTCTGCATAAAGCTGTTCCATGATGGAGTGTGGCAGTTCCATGTCCATGGGAATATGAATGGAGTCCACCCAGGCATGGGCGCCAGGGTTGAAAGCAACAGCACTGAGAAATTGGTTGAAAAGAACGATGTTCTTAATGCTGTCCCGACCGAAGATTTCTCGAACATCTTCCAAAGCGAAAACCCATTGCTGAACGAACGCCGGAGGTGACATCGTAGGTTTGTAAACGGTGTGAACCCACGTGAGGTATGCTCGGTGAGCCATTTGGCACCGACGCTTCGCAGTTTTATAGAAGTCTGTTGGGTCTCCTGTTGAGACGCCTTTCTGGTGATGCGGCCTTGACCCATTCTTGCATGCTCGACGGTCAGTGAGCCATTCCTGGGGCGCTGATGAGTCGTGCAAGCGATGGCGGTAGTTCACGCATGGTGCAGCTGGAAATGGCGGAAGAATTTGTTGTTGTGGATAGCCGGATGGAGGAGGCAGTATCGGATAGGGATATGAATGAATGCGCCCGGCGGGGGGAGGGTTCCAGCACGTAGGGAAATAAGGCTGTCCAGCGGGCAGGCAAGGCCCACCAGCTGGAAGATATGACTCCGGTGTCAAATATTGATCGCCCTGCCATTCCTGGTTATGGCGATATGCTGGGATCATATAGTCGTTCGTTCGATTAAGATACCCAGGACAGGGGGGTCCAGGATTAAACTCACTCAAGGCAAACCCTGGCACAAGACGAGCATTCTGTGCGGAGGTGTTGAAGTTTGGATCAAGAACGTATGCATTGAGGTTCACGTCGGCATCCATATCGGACAACGGCTTCTGAAACGATAGTCAATAACGTTGTCGCCTTGAGATAGCGAATGAAAGGAAAGCCAGACCGAACTGACAGACTGAAAATATTCGGATTCAGTTAAACCTTCGAGCTCAATGGATAGATAGATCAAGATGTCGCTAGTGGCTTTGATGCCAGAGACGGAAGAGATATGGGCGATGGGAAAAGTTAGATCGGGATGAATGGGAACGAGATCAAAAGGTAGAAGAGATATGTTCAATAATCAAAAGAGCAAACCTGAATGAGGAGCCTGCCTTTGATAGGCACCATCTCTGCCCAGGTACAAGGCATCAAAGTGTGTGCGTTGTACTAATTGATGATGTTTGATATGGTTTCCCGTCTTTTACCTCATTTCACTTGAGGGCCTCCACAATAATATCTGCATTCCGGACAATCGGTTTTTGGACCAATGAACTAATTTTGGAATACTGAAGATGAAAGTGAGAGCAATTTCAAAGCCTTTGTCGTTCATCACTAGGGGCTGGGGGAGGTTATCGACATCCAAGAGTAGGATCTTGTAGCCAGCAGGTACAGAGTAGTAAAATTTCCAAGGTTCTAAGAGAATGCGAATTAAGATCTCTTTCGATTTGAAAATAAAAGCACTATCCCCTGACCTTGCGAGCTCGCCCTTCCGGGCTGCCTTCCATGCTATGGAAATATCTATATCAGCAACACATTCTACAGATTTCAAGATGAATAAACCAGCAAGTGATTTGGGATTCAAGCAATTCACTGATTCTGGCCACTTGTGGAGCATCAAAGGACCCCAAAGCGCCGCAGCGAGCCGAGAACGTGTTCGATCTAAAGCGATAACAAGTTGAAAAGGGGATGCAAGTTTTTGAATGCGTGGCATGCTTCAATCATTCGTTCGGACCCTCGTATAACCACCGTGGAGTCGCCAATGCTGATTTATATTGTGAAGACCCCTTTTACAGTCGACTCGAAACTGTGGCCTCAATGTGCCAAGCAAAGGCTTGTTTGGGATACAAAGACCTCTGGCTGAAAATCAATCACGTTACAGATTTTCTATACGCTGTTTTGTCACAAGGCATTTGTAGCCGACAAAAATTCCGTGCGGGTTCTAATAACAACAATGCACGTGGTTTCCACCGAAGAGACGACAACCCCTTTTGGATTAGTGGCTCGGTGGATGACCCCCAAAGCCGTTCGACCGGGCAGGCGATCGTCCGTGCTAATCTGTATGTGGGTGGACCTGAAGGGGTAATAGGACAGTCACATAGACCAGGTCCTGAGATGACGTTGTGCCGTGACCTATGGTCATTCATGTCTCCGGATTTTAAATTTTGCTGCCAAGAACACATCTTGAATTCTTTTGGAAATGATTGGCATTTTTGACCACGCTCAGAAAACTTTGAGAGCCACGTTAGGTACGCAGACATCAGAGCTATGACCACGCGATGCTGATCTGGGATTCCAGAGGATTTCCAGAAACATTTCGATGCTCGGGTCCATTCCGGTTAAATTTTAGCTTTGAACGACCACGGAAGTAAGATCCATGGATTTCAAAAAACCATAAAGAGATGAAAAACAGTTGCAAAATCAGCAACTTTAGAAGATCAGCAGTCATGTGCTTGCCTGGGTCATGGCAATGGTAGTGTATAGCTCTGCTGCCTTCGTATAAGAAAGCACATACCTCGGGCCAAAAGTGCCCGGGAAACATATCAAAAGAAGGCAACGGACTATGCATGAAAGACCGAGCACTCCAAAGATTGAATTTAACAAAACCACATGGGAGAGTACGATGGGCAGAGTGGACCCCAGGGGGTGATCTGATAGCCAGCCATTTTAGCACGTTCCACCCACCCACTCTCCACTCTCTCTTATGGCGCTTATACATTGATGTATATTTACGTCTTTTTCCTGTGAGCAAACCCCACGGTTGAACATGCCACTTTCGTTCCTGGTCGATCTTTACCTGGATCGCATTATTCGCATGTTCCACAATCAAAACCCTTAAAGATTCGGGATGAACTCATTCGCCCCTCAGGACTTTCAGGAATGGGTAGATAGACGTCAAAGCAGCGTGTCTACCTCCACCGTGTCGTCTGCGTCAACAAGCGTTCTCTTCTCGAGCCCCACGACCTCTCCGGGGTCTAGCTCGAGAAAGCAATCCTGGCAGCTCTACGACGATGTCGTGCGCCTCGTGCTAACTCCCTCGGTGCAAATGTACGTACGGGCGCAGATATGCGCGGAGAAACGCGTACTGATCGATTCTCAGCTCTTTCGTGAAAAACGGGCAACTTTTCAAGTTGCATTATACCTTCATCGATGTCTGCAAAGACTCAACGGGCGCGTTGAGATGCCTCGAACTTGGAGGGGGACTTGGCCAACAATCACCCTTTGTCCACGGCTGTGAGTATATCGACCGTCACCTTTCTCCAGCCAAACTCTGACCAAAATGTAGTTTCAAATACAAAACTGCCAGTACCGCATCTAGAGCATCCGAAATCAGGCGACGATTACCCCTTGCGAGTGTCCTTTATGGATCAACAGACCGTTCACACAGCACATACAGTCTTCATGACTCAATTATCATATAAGTTCGAAAACTGGGATGGTATGCGACCGACAGAATCTAGGTATCGACCGACTGCTAATTGTTTCAGACTGTGTTCGATTTCAGGAACTACTGCTCTGCTCGAAATTGATGTTCATTGGTGGCATGGCAGAGGCCAAATCCAAAGGCAGAGGAGAAGAGTGTATCAGCCAAAACCTCCGGATTTTGCGCGGACACAATGGCAAACGCGTTATTCTCTACTTCGCCAACTCCCAGCGAAGGGAGCTCAAGCGTTACGTTTCCATTCCCCGTAAGTGACCTTCACACGTGGGTCCAGCCCCTGTCGGGTTTTATTGCTAACCGGTCAGTTAACTGCATTGGGGGCATCAAACCACCGAAGAAGCCGGGGCGGCCAGCCACCGTGGAATTGAATCCAAACTTCGAAATCCTGGCGCAGATGAGAAATCTGACCATCCAGTTCCTCGACGATGACGGTCAGTGCACATTTGAGTTTTGTCGTGGGTCGTTCGCTTACCAGTATCTCTCTTCTCTAGACTGCAACGAATTCTGTCAGATGTTATCGTACGACCTGGCACTTGGATGAGGTTTTCGTCTTGGACTATAGACCCCCTTTACGATAATGAATCTTGCATGGAGTTGGGCGCAATAGAGATAATAATGTACATAATGGGCAGATACCACCGGAGATTAAAATCCATGTTAATGAAGACGGATACGAAGAATTAATTAAGGAAGTGTACGAGTAATTAAGACGATCCATTTCCATCCAGACCTCGAGAGACGAAGAGCCCACGGTTCGGGGCGATTGAGTTGGATAGTCGACAAACCAAGCACAAGATTGGCGGCACGTGGAGCGTACAACCCCAAGCTTTGGCTCGTTCCCGTCCGCCGCGCCCCACCTTGGCGCAGGCATCCGGTGGGTCCCCCTCGCACGTTTCTATTGTGCTACCGTGGATATGCCTCATATAGGCTCTAATCTCCTGACCTTTTGTTCTGATAAGATCCATGATGTCCACAGCATGTTCACTCTATGAACTTCAACCCTCACTTTGATTCATGATGGGCAGGTTCCACGCCCGTTTGTACAAGACCGACCGTGCGCGGGATTTCGACCACGAGCAGGTATGGATGACTCGGTGACTTTGGAATACGGGGCTGACAACTTGATAGGATCGATATGTGCGCATGCGACAGATCTATGAGACGATTGATCGACAGGGCTTTCAATGGATTGTCGTGCTGGTCGCAGGACTGGGCTTCTTTCTCGATGGGTACACAGTGAGTTGATCAGAGTGCAGTGATGCTTGTAAGGCATTTTCAAATAGAGTCGTCGATGCTAACTACTCTTATAGCTCTTCGCCAGTAACATGGCGCTTCCGATGATCTCCTACGTCTACTGGAGAAACGACACCTCCTCATTACGCCTCACGTGCATCAACATCGCAACTCTCGCGGGGACCTTACTTGGACAAGTGGCATTTGGTTTCTTGGCTGACAAGAATGGACGAAAGAAGATGTATGGGGTGGAGCTAGTGCTTTTGATCACTGCCACGCTGGGCGTGGTCATGTCCTCAACAGGCGTGGACGGCAGCATGAACGTCTTTGGCTGGTTGATTTGGTGGAGAATCTGCGTCGGAATTGGAGTTGGCGCAGACTACCCATTGAGTGCGGTGATCACTTCTGAGTAAGTCATCGAAACTACCAGGTGTGGTGAAAGACTCGGTTGACGATGGCTAACATTGACTCCAGATTTGCCCCGACCAAACATAGAGCGCGCATGATGGCCACTGTCTTCTTCATGCAACCGCTCGGACAAATCGCAGGTAACATTGTCTCGGTCATTGTGATCGCAGTGGCCCGCCACAACAGTACACCCGACGAGGATCTTTCACGAACCGTGGATATCATGTGGCGCTGGGTTATGGGAATAGGTGTTGTTCCCGGTGCGATTGCTACGCTATTCCGATTTGCGATTCCAGAGAGTCCTCGATACTTGGTTGATGTTGAAGATGACCCCGTCACCGCGGAGTTTGATGCAAGCACACTCTTCAGCGAAAGTCCCGGGATGTCTGAACTCTCCAGCTGGGGTAACAGTACAGTGTGCAGTGCAGGGGGTGGCATTCAACTACCCCCGATTTCCTCCATTGCAAGCAGCAGTTCGATAATCGACGACGATGATGAATTCACCCGTCTACCACCCGCCACACTCAACTCTCACTGGCGATTAGCACGCACTGATATCTTTCGATATTTCTGGACCGAGGGAAACTGGCGCAGTTTGGCCGGTTGTTCTCTTGCGTGGCTTCTGCTTGACTTTGGCTTCTATGGAATTGGCCTGTCTAGTCCGCAATTCTTTGCCAAAACATGGGGCACACTTCACATATCTTCGGCAGCTCCAAGTTGGATGACCGACGATCGACCACATGCCAATATTTTCACGATGTTCATGGACACCTCCGTGCGCGGCCTGGTTGTTCTGAATGCTGGCAGCTTTGTCGGTGGTGTCTTGCTCATCATATTTGCTCACAAGTTGGATCGAGTGGCGCTCCAGAAATACATGTTCCTGGCATTGGCAGCTCTCTTCATTGCCCTGGGAACCATGTTCCTCTGCCTTTATACCGGCCCTCCAGCTGTTGTGGCACTATATATCATTGGTCAGATCTTTTTCAACTTCGGTTAGTGTCTCGAAACTGAGAAAGGCATCATTGGATATACGCTAATTATCAACAGGTCCTAATGCTACGACATATATGATTCCGGCCGAAATTTTTCCAACTCGATATCGTGCCACTTGCCACGGTCTGAGTGCCGGGTGCGGCAAACTTGGTTCCATCTTGGTCCAGATTTTCTCGGCATACTATCACTTTGGCGCTGGTCCAGGAAATGAATCAACCCGGAGACACGGCATCGTTCTGATTGTCTTCAGCGTCTGCATGGTGCTCGGCGCAGCAGTCACGCACTTCTGGATCCCACCAATCCAGCAAAAGCGTAATGGACGAAGTAAAATCTGGGGCGGAAAGCCCGAAACTCTAGAGAGCATGGCTCTTGGGCGGATGGGCCGAAAGAGTCGGGATGCCGATTTCCGGAAACGTACGTCCCGACATCGAGCACTTTCGATGAGCGCTTAGCTTCCGGTGTCATTCCCTTGTATAATTTATCATTCCCATACATATTGTCTGTTCGTTCAGACTGTACGAACATATATTCTGCGATACCCTCATACAATGCATTGATTTCTTTTCGTCATTATGTGTTACAATTCTTCGTTCCAACGATCATCCCAAATCAACTTCTCCATGGCTTGCTTATCAAGATAGAGAGCGATGTCCATACCACCGTCCCCAATTGCGCTGTCCATAATCTGCGCACAGCCATCCAATTTCGGCATGATAGCATGCGCATATCGCAGTTGAGAGCCGCGCATGAAACTAACATCATGTAGTCGCAGTCTCAACCAGGACGTAACGATGGTATGTTCAGTTCCCATGAAAGCCTGCCAAAGCCGTTGTGGTGAGACTTCAAAGGCCGCATCGTGTAAGATGGCCCCCATGGCTTCCGGAGTGAATCTTTGCATTGTCTGCCGAATTTGGCTAGCCTTCTTCCCTAGAGTTTCCCGACAGACTGAAGAGCCAGGCGCGCCGACATGTGTGATCAAGAGGGGCGATCCAACGAACGAATCAGGAAGAGCAGGAGACACACGAGCACGTGCCCCAATGGTTAAGTCGAGGTAAACCTGCTTTGAAGATTCTTCATAGCCACGAGCACGGGTGATAAATGTCCACACGTAGGCGAGCAAAGCGTCAAGGCGAGAAATATCAGCCCGACTATCTGGATCGGCAAGAGCAAGCGTCTTGATATGAGCTAGCTCTTCGCCTGTGAAATGCAGCTGGGCGTAACTGGCTGGGCGGGAGAAATCCCACGAGAGCCACGGCGCTGGCTCCGACGGTGACACTTGTAAGTGTTCAAGTTGATCGGCCGGAGGCTTTGAATTCTCTGTTGTGGGAATGCATGCCTTTGGATAGCCTTCATCGGCTGTATCCCACCAGCTGTAGCGATGCAGGGGCAAGCTGCGAGCTGTGCAAGAGAGGGCCTGATCGCAGCTGGAGCCATCAATGTCACCCCCAGCGCAGCTGTCCAGTAATTGGGGGCTGAAGATCGGCTCGCCCATCGGCGAGGATTCGTGCTCGTCGCCAAAGCTCTCTTGGCTTTTAGTTGACCATAGGTGCATGAAGACCATCAGGGTTTGCGCATCTGCTAGACAATGTGCCACCTTCACACCAACGGCGTATCCTCCATCGAGCAAAGTAATCTGGACTTGCACTCCAGGGCGACTGGCAAAATCGTGCAGATTTGACAGGGCTAGTTGATTAGGGGATACGAAGAGTGATTCATCGATAGCATCGCCCATCCAGGTTCCGTGTCGAGAGCCGGCGGTTGAAGAAGCGCGTTCCTTGGCGGTCGGTGCGATCTCATCCGTTCGAATAGGATGCTCAATCACCGTCCATTCTACTCCGGGGTCCGAATCATGACCATATGTGAGTATCGGGCGATTGAACCGATTGGTGTGGTTTCCCTCGCCGACAGGAGCCCATTGCAGTTGACCGGACCACTGAGGGAAGCTGGATAATGTAGCGATTAATGAGGACCGGAGATGGTCGAGCAAGCCTGATCGGTCCAAATTTGGCGCGTCGAAAATCCAAATTGCCCCAGTTGGAGTGAATCTCACGACGGTCGCGTCGAGGATTGAAAGCGGCGTTGTTGTTGGTGCGGAACGTTCCGCTGGGAATAATCTGGCAGACTCAAGAGTGGCCATTCTGAAATCTTCAATGCTTTTGGACTTTCATATTGACGATAGAAGACTCCTTAAATTGGTCTTCTTTATTTCCCTGCCTCTCCTTGTTGTTCTTTGATGCCAGTGCTCAAGTTGAGCCACGATGAATGACCATGAGTCACCATGCATCACCCCCTAGTGCATCGCCACTGCGCTTGAGCAACCAACAGAAATATAGATATGTGGCTTGGCTGGCTTCAATAGCGCCATAAAGCAATTTCCACTGGTCTTGGGTCTCTAGTGCCTTTTGGACTCGATGCGCCTCAACGGGGGCGGTTCCCGTTCTCGTGCATTTTCCACCGGAGTCCCGCGGGCCCAAAATACAACTGACGACCGAGAAGTGCACGCTATTCCATTTGCAACGAAAATAAAGCGCTACGCTTCTACAACAGGTTCTAGCCCTGGGAATTTACAACTGGGATAGACGAATGGGGAATCGTTGGAAGCGACCGGTGCGATTTCACCCAATGCCGGCCACCTTCAGAATCGCAAATCCATCTCACAAACTATGTGGGTCTTCAAAATCGGAGGCTCTCAGACTCCAACATTGTATTTTTTATGACAATATTCACTAGACCACGTCTCATCACGGCAACGGAGTATCCACAAACAGCATCTCGGTCAACTCTTTGGAAGAGCGGTCTCCCTGGACGTTGGCTTCTTCAACGGCCTTTCTGAATTGCATGACTTCTCCCTGAGACAGCTCAACAAACATGCTATTCACGTTCTCCCTCAGCCTCTCAACCTTGGTTGTCCCAGGGATGGGGAAAATATCACTTCCCTGGGCGAGCAGCCAAGCGAGGGTCAACTGCGACGGATGAATACCCTTGCACGCCGCTAACTTACCGATACTGTCAACAAGTTCCAGGTTCTTCGGAAAGTTCTCCACCGAAAACCGAGGCAATGTTTTTCTGAAGTCGCCCTCCTCGAAATCTGCCACAGAGCGCAGGGCACCGCTCATTATACCGCGTCCCAGAGGTGAGTAAGCAACCAAAGCAACCCCAAGGGCTCTGCATGTCTCCAGCAACTTATATTCTGGACTCTCGATTTCCAGTGAGAACGGCGAGTACTCCATCTGTACGGCCGAAATAGGGTGAATATTGTGTGCTCTGCGAAGGGACGCCACGCTGCATTCACTCAACCCGATGTATTTGATCTTGCCGGCATTTTTGAGCTCAACCATGGCCTTGATAGTCTCTTCAACGGGGGTCCTGCCATCCAGTCGATGGCAGTAGTATAGGTCGACATAAGAAAGACCGAGCCTGCGCAAAGACGCTTCACATGCACGCAAGGCATAAGCGGGTGAAGAATCCCGCGACGTCGTTCCATCTGGAAGGGCACCCAAAGAAAATTTCGTGGCCAAGAATATGTCCTGGCGTTTCTCAGGGTTTCTCTCAAACCATTCTCGAAGTAGCTCCTCATTGCCGTCGTAGACATCAGCTACGCAATATTCGATTAGCAAGTTTCAACGCAGGAAGTTTTTGTGCTTGCTGACTTGCCTGTGTCCCAGAACCTCTCACCAAGCTCATGAGCCCGATCAAGGACATGAAGTGCCTCTTCGATCGGCAACGGCTTTCCATAGTAGCTGCTCAGACCCATGAGACCAAAACCTACTCGAGTCACTTCTGGGCCATTTTTTCCCAGGGGACGTGTGGGTACTCCGGACATGCTGGTGCGATGTAAACTCGTCTACTTGATCGTGTCTTAGCACTGGCAAGAGCAGGAGGCACGAAAGGTAATATGACCGCAAAAGCAATGGCAGCGGAAGCCATGAGCTGAGGGGCCAAGATCGACATACTCCAAGCCGCACTTCCTGGGGATTTGTGGTGGAGGTAGTGGAGTGACTGCAGGCGGGTCCTTTTGCAGAAAGAAGCAATGTCGGGTTGTTTTTTTCTTCGGACGGAGTATGATTTGTGACAAGGAAAGTATCCCACAAGCATCAACTTAAGGTTATAGCAAGTACATCTTGATCACCAGGATAGAAAGATATGTGTCTCTATATCTTGAGTCCATCATCGTCAGATCGGGTATCGCAGCTCAATGATGCGAGGAAGCCGATGGATGTTGGGGTCAGATCCGCGCAAGGGGGCTTGCGGAGGCCCCGCAGCGGTCGGGTTCTTCGGGGTGTCCTGTGCCCCAGGGCACCTCGGGTTCTCACCCGAACCCCAGGAAAAAAAGATCGGGTGCGTATCCCTCGGATTCCTCGGGTTGTGTAGCTGCAGGGTCAGCCTCTAGTCTCTCCTTCCTTTCACCAAATAAGGCTGGCATTCCTGGCCAGCGGGTCTAGTGGGGACAAATGCATTCCAAAATGAAGATCTAATTGAGAAGTCATTTCTCCAATGTCCAATCACTTCTGATGGGCCGTCGAGACTCACTCCACCGTGGAACAGTTTTACCAAGACTCATAAACCCCCAGCTCCCAAAGAGGGCAATGGCTGGAGATTGAGTCCTTACCGAACAATGTTGTGGTCACTCGGGAAAAAGACAGTATTTGGTGAATTGAAGCTTTTCGGTGTCGGCCAAGAGATCTTGCCAAGGGTTAAATACATCTAGCTAGCAAACAAACAACACAAAGCTTGTTTTATAATTCTTTGCGATATCTTCTTTATTTTTTCCTGTGTCAAGAGCACAATTCATCATCACATCTGCGACTTAAGCACGTTTTCTTCAATACACCGCCCAGTTTGGACATCCTTGCGATGGGCGCCTCCAACGAAGGACATCTACAAGCAACTATTCCACCTGAGCCCTCCCTTGAGTCATTCAATATTAGTGAGGCTCAGTCGTCTGAGCTCTCTTGGGATGGCGAGAACGATCCTGAAAATCCCTACAACTGGCCCGTATCGCGGAAATGGGCATTGGCATGCCTCGCCGCTTTCACGACATTTTTGTCGATGATGAACGGAACGATCATAACGGTTGCACATTTCGAAATTTCAGAACGTTTCAATGTGACCGAGACCAGTTTTCCAAACTCGTACTGGCCCGTGACCACATGGGCTAGCGGAGGAGCTTGCTCTGCTTTGTTTATTCTACCTCTGGCAGAAGAATTTGGAACCCGTCCAGTGTTTTCTGTCGACATATCTCCTCTTCCTTTGCTTCCTCGTACCCCAGGCTGTCGCGCAGAACTTTGCTACATTGGTAGTCACTCGCTTTTTTGCCGGCGGCTGCGTCGCAATCTTGGCCAACACGGCTGCTGGGGTCGTCGGCAATATTTGGAGTACTGAATGGTCGAGATCGGTTCCAGTCAGTTTATACATTCTCGGCTACATGGCAGGAAGTAGCATGGGTCCCGTGATGGGAGCTGCAGTTTACGAATCCTTGGGATGGAGGTGGGTCGGCTATATCCAGCTCATTTGGTTTGGGGCCCTGTTTCCAGTCTATTACTTCTTCATGTACGAGTCACGCGGTGGGGCAATCCTTGCGCGACGAGCGCGAGCAATCCAAAAATGCAAAAGCGGCAATGATTCCGATTGTGAGAAGCAGAAAAATCTATCAACTACGAAGTTGCGCGACTTTGTCCACATTGCAACCAGACCTGTGATTCTATTCTCGACTGAGCCAGTCTTGTTTGTGTCAACGGTATGGTCTGCCTTCACAGTGGGCACCCTATTCCTGTTTACGCAATCGGTCGAGCAAGTTTTCATGGAGCTATATGACTGGAACGTTTCACAGACTGGCTATGTTCAGTGCTCAGTCGTCATCGGAGAGTGTTTGGGATGGGGCTTGAACTTCATATCTCGGAAGCTCTACTTCAGCTCTGCCTCACGAAACACCGAAGTCCCCGGTTCACCAATTCCAGAAGCAAGACTTTATATGGCTGTTCTAGGAGGCGTCTTCGGTATATCAGGAGGCATGTTCACCTACGCCTGGACCTCTTACCCGACAATCCCGTGGATTGCACCCGCCATCAGTTTGGCCATGGTCGGTGCTGGAAGTGTGTTGGTTGTGACAGGAGTATCAGACTACGTGGTCGATGCATACAGTGATTATGCTGGAAGTGCAATGGGCTCGGTTGCTGGCGGAGAGAACATTTTCTCCGCCTTCTTACCTCTCGCTACCATGAGCATGTATGGAAATCTCGGACTCCAATGGGCAAGCACCTTATTGGCTTTCGTATCCTTGGTGCTTTCACTTGTGCCGACATTGATGTTCTTCTGGGGGAAGGAGGTTCGCGAACGCAGCGTTTTCATGAACACCATGAAAGACACAGTTAAAAAGGGATATGAAGCGGCCTAGGATGAAAGACTACAGAAATCACACCAAATTTTCTTGCCAAATAGAAGCAAATTCAACCTTGGAGTTTCTTCAACTTCTGTTATCTATATTTTGAAATGAGAATGGAAATTAATTAAAATCGATGAATCAATAAAGTACAGAGTAGGCCCCAAGGTCATCATCAGTTGAAAACTGAATCTCAAGTGAGACTTTAGGTCCTTGGCTTGCATTTCTATGGATGCGACGATACATAATACTAGACTTTCACAATCTCATACTCTTGGTCAGAAACAGGAGTGAGAAAAAAGTGAAAATACCGGATAGCGGACCAGGCTGAAAAGCCACGGCAACCAGACAAGCATTGCAGCACAGTGCCGAGGGAGGTCCGGGCAACAGACAGTCAATCCGATTGAGAGCCAGGATGACTTCACAGCCATCTTATTTCCGAGACCTTAAAGCCATGAAGATCCACCAAGCTGTGAGTAGTACCCTCGGCTAGATCGGGTTCCGCACCCGAGCGGTTGACTGGACTGCAATTGGCCAAGGGCACTGGGTTGTATACCGTGTTTTATTCCCCAAAGAAGATTCGATTGCTATATAACGGAGTCGCAGTTGCATTTCTCAATTGACATGAAACTTTTTTCCTCATAGAATTCTCCATCACGACCCCGCCATCCCCAATGAACATCTTCCCCGCAACCCCATCAATCAATATGGCAGCCTTCTCAAACACCCTGAAAGACCCCAGTCTCTTCATTGAGAAATCCTACATTGATGGCCAGTGGGTCTCATCACAATCTAAGAAGACTTTCAACGTTTACAACCCAGCCACCGAGGCAGTCGTGGGAACCTGCCCCGAATCAAACACAGAAGATATCAACGCCGCTATCCAAGCCGCAGCGAAAGCCTTCCCCACATGGAGAGCTCAGTCAGGCCGACAGCGCGGGCGCATTCTCCGCCGGTTCTTTGAGCTCATCATCGAAAACAAGGAAGATATCGGCAAGATTATCACAGCGGAGAATGGTAAAGCCAAGGGCGATGCCGAAGGAGAGGCGATGTTCTCAGCTGGCTTTTTCGAATGGTTCTCGGAAGAGGCACCTCGAATCTATGGCGATGTCATTCCTCACAGCAACCCTTCCAGTCGCACTCAGGTCGTGAAAGAGCCAGTCGGTGTGTGTGGATTGATTACTCCATGGAACTTCCCCATGGCTATGGGAGCGCGCAAGGTCGCTGCTGCCCTGGCTGCGGGCTGCACGGTCGTTATGAAGTCTGACGGTGTGACTCCATTCTCTTCGAACGTCCTGGCTGCACTCGGTGAGCGCGCTGGTGTGCCCAAGGGCGTTTTCAACGTTGTCACTGCGCTCGAGAACACCCCGTCTCTTGGATTGGCGCTTTGCGAGTCGGATATCGTGAAGAAGATTTCATTCACCGGTTCGACCCGTGTCGGTAAGCTGCTCATGAAGCAGTCAAGCAACAGTCTGAAGAAGTTGAGTCTTGAACTTGGTGGTAATGCTCCATTTATCGTGTTTGACAACGCCGATGTGGAGACTGCTGTTACCAGTGCCGTGATTGCAAAGTTCAAGGTCACCGGACAGACTTGTGTTTGCGCAAATCGATTCTTCATCCAAGATGGAATCTATGAGAAGTTCAGCAAGCGATTCGTCGAAGAGGTTAAGAAGAGCCAGGTTGGTGATGGTCAGAATGCTGCCTCGACTCATGGACCCTTGACCAGTGGTATCGACAAGACCCAGGAACACATCCAAGATGCGGTTACCAAGAATGCTACAGTACTTCTTGGAGGTAACAGCTTGCCATCCGTGGGCAAGAACTTCCACGAGCTCACTATTCTGGGAGACGTGAATGATTCGATGAAGGTCACCAGCGAGGAGACCTTCGGACCTGTCGCGGCACTTTCCCGCTTCTCGAGTGAAGAGGAAGTTGTCAAGCGTGCCAACAACTGTGAGGTCGGTCTGGCATCATATTTGATGACAAACGATCTGGGCAAGGCAAACCGTGTATCAGAGCAACTGGAGTTTGGTATGGTTGCCATCAATACTGGCGTAATCTCCGATTGGGCTGCACCGTGAGTCAAGTTAATTCCCTATTCAAATTTCCCACCGTGCTGACATCTGGTAGATTTGGAGGCGTGAAGCACTCTGGCATGGGACGTGAAGGCAGCAAGTACGGAGTGGAGGACTATATGAACATCAAGATGGTCGTGACGGGAGGAATTAACACAGTGTACTCATCCCATTTGTAGATAGCTCGCACTGATTCATTGGAAAGAAAATTCGGTGATACAAAGCGTGAAATTTACTTAGACAGTGAGAATGTGAGAATGTTATCCTGAGGAAAAACTGCAATTTCGGCTGCGGATGCAGATTTATAGAGCCAGGGGCTCGATCCCTAGCCTATCTTATCTTGGTAGATACATGTGAGCGTGAAATGCGTGAAGCGCAAAAAATCCAGCAATTCAAACAATCTTAATCATTGGCTGAACAAAGGGAAAATGACGACTCTCCGAGTTTTGAGGTCTTCGGGGTACTCCGTACCCAGAGACGGATACCCAGTAAGGAAGCTCATTGAGTTACTTAGGTACAATGTTCTCCTCTGGAAATCTTTGCACCTGAGGGAATTTATGCGTCTTTTACACCTTAGTTCCTGATTTTATGAAGAAAAGAAAAACCTCACGTTTGACAAGAGCCCGACTCACCAACATTAACCCGCCGGTCTCGGCTTCCCTCGTATTCGTATCACCCAACAACGCTCGGGCCCTTCGGATACTTCCCGAGGGGCGTTTCCCCCTGTTTCTCACGCGTCTTGGTGTATGGACTCCGTATGGGCCCATTCCCTACCTGCTTCTACTGGAATACATATCGCAAAGCATCAGCCAAAGTATCCAAAAATTTTACCCCCGAGCGTCTGCTGACCTTGACCCTTGTGGTGCAGTTTATTTCATCAGACCCCATACTGGCGCCATTCCGAGGTCTCCATAGCAGCCCCCCACTTTGGGGTTACTGACTGGAGCACCATGCCTTCGAATGATCAGACGAAGACCTCCGTGGTGGCAATGGTGTCCATAATTGCCTTGCACAAGGCTTAAATATTACTTCATCGGGATACTCGAAGCCCCAAAGGCGTTCTGGTGACAGCGTGTAATTACGAACCATGGGATTGTTTTGCTGTTCCTGGGTCCGCTGGGAAAGGTTGCGGGGAAAATGGGGCTACACGAAGCCTCAAACCCCGCGGGGCCAGGACCCGAGATGACAACCTCGCCTATTTTCACACCCCAGCGGGTGACTTTCATTCGTCTCTTGCATCTTTCCTGATATATCACGCCAAGCGGCCCGTGTCTTCTAGTGCATATGTCCCAATGGCTACACAGACACAGTCTGAACCGTATAAGCCGAAACGGACTTCAAACGCGTGAGACTTCCGGACTTCCATGTCAAAAAATGAGATCATCTACTGAGACGTTCGGACTGCAGATGTATCGCCTGTCGACAAAGCAAAATCAAATGTTCCGGCACAGCACCATGTACCAATTGCCGGCGGCGAGGCATAGAATGCCAGATTGCGGACGCAAGTAAAATCATGGTGGATGAAAGGTCTGTGGGCTGATGCTAAAGTCTTATCAGGCACAAACTAACCTTCTTTTACCGCAGATATCTTCAAAAATTGATAGCGCAGGCTAAAAGTCATGATCAAGATGCACATGATCACATGCAGCACCTACAGCACCTACAGCATCAACAGCCCTCACCGGAAAGAAAGAGGTCTGCCGACGTGGCATTTGGTTCCAGCTCAGAAGTTGATACAAGGCGCTCTGGTAAGAGAAACTCGCCATTTATCCAAGTGCTCTTTGCTGAGTTAGTCAAGTGAGCTCAGTTCCTCGCCAAGAGGAGCTACCTCCATATCAACCCATTGACCAAGGACGTTGTGTTTGGGCCAACCCATTCACACTGCCATCCAGAACAGTCAATGGTCTTTACAAAGGGAAGAGTGGCTGGAGTATGTTTCTTTCCTGCAGATGATCGTATCATTTATTAATTCCCGATAGTCTGGCTTGCCCCAACGTCACTGTGGTCTTTGACGACTCGGCTGTCACTGATGCTGGCGGAGAATTTGCGTCCTGAAATACCACACAAATTTCCAAGCTCTTTGGAAAAAGAGATCTATCCACTGCGTTGGAGACCAGCCCCAATCGAAGACCCTCCTGATATCAGTGGGCTCCCTTCTGCCGACGACGCAATATACCAATTCAACACGGTGAAACATCATCTTGATCAGCATTACCGATTTTTTGACGAAACTTCATTCACAAGGCATCTGAATGAGTTCTACTCTGGAAATTCGCTCCAAAAGGCCACTGATAATCGGCTTTGGTTTGTTCACTTCTTGCTGGTGCTTGCGTTTGGCAATGCATTCCTCCTTCGCACCCGCAATACTAAAGATCCCCCAGGGTCCAAGTTCTTCTTGCGAGCCATGTCCCTATTGCCCGACTATGCAAGCTTATGGACTGATGGATTGCTGGCCTTGGAAGTTCTGGCCCTTGCTGGGCTATATCTATACTGCATTGATCATCGAGAGTCAGCGCACGTGTATGTAAGTATTTTTCATCACATACTCGTCGTCATATGCGTTTTGAATACTGACGGATTGAAGATCGGCCAAGCAATTAGAATCGCACAACTCGATGGCTTACATACCGAATTGCCTGAAACCGAGCTCGGAGTAGAGACTGTGTCTCGATGTCGAAACCTTTGGTGGACGCTCTATGTGATGGATCGGCACATTTCATCCTCCCTAGGGCTACCAATGACTACTCAAGACAGCGATATTACGACGACACTCACTCCTGCTTCAGCAGGATCACGCCCGGATGCTACTTTGGGTCTCCATGTGAAACTCTCATGTTTGTTTTCATCCATTTTGACCTGTAAGCTCCCCCTCTCTGATAACATCTAGCAATTATTGACCCTATTCGTTTATTAGCGGTTTACAAAAATGAGAAAACTGAGCTCGGGACCTTCCTGGACAAGACGCGAACAATTCTGCAGACCATGACGATCTACGCACGAGAGATAGAAACCATCATACACCCAAAGACTACAAGCAGTGTAGAAACTATGCCAAAGGGTACGCGGTATATCACACTGCTCTATCATCAGGTAAGAGTGCCAACATCTGCGTTGGAGTCATGGCTAATTGCAAGGTGCCAGTGTGTTCTCGTTGCCACTCGACCTTTGCTCTTGTCGGTTCTTAAGGAACGACTAGATATGCTAGTGGATCCAGCACATCGAGAGGATGACTGGAGAAGTTTCTTGGCACCGACGAAAGCCTTGATCTCAACGGGAATCAAGTCGGCCATCCAAACTCTTCAGATACTGACTGATGAAGACAGCCTTCTGGGTAAGTGCATTTGTCTAAACCATCAGCAGAAGCCCTGAACTGATTCTGATATCCAATTGCATAGAGGTTTTTCTCCCATTTGAGATGGAAGTCACATACGGGGCCGCCCTTCACCTGATTATGGCAAATGCTTTGTTCCCACACTCTACTTCAGGCTATAATTATAGCGAGCAAGCCCATTTCGTATTCGACGAAATGATCTTCAAAGGAAACAGAATAGCCGTTGCTCGCAAAACAGAGCTCTCCCACCTAGAGGATCTCTTCCGTGAACTGGCAACGCGAATCGAGTCTCATGGATTGCAAACATTGACTCTCAGTACACCCGAACACCTCCAACAACCAGAGTCTATGATGGATAATCCCCCTGTCCATGCAGAAGATTTGACCAAGAATACCACAAATAATGGATCAGACATCCAGATACCGCATGAGAATCCGGGGTATTTGCCTTCCGGTACTCACCTGACGAGTGATGGGGACCTGCTTGATGGGATGGGGATATCTTCATATGAGTTTCTGTCTATAATTGAACAGATTGGTGGAGCTGAGAGCAGTTTATTGGATCCTGAACCATCATGGGAACATGGAATGTGAGATCAGAGTACCAACAATGACATATCAGTGAATATAATTGTTATTCTAGAACATATGCAGCGTTATCCATCTTATGTTACAGCTTGACAGGAACATTTCGCAAGGCCTTTATGACCTGCTTTGCCCCATCCTCTCCAGAGCAAAGCGCCCCCTCCATATATCCTTTCCACTCGGAGCTATACTCAGTGCCAACAAAGTGTAGATTTCCCACGGGCCGTCCATAGACAGACGCATACTTGGTAAGGTGTCCGATAGAGTGCACAGGAGCCAGGGCACCTCGGCTAAACTCTTCGTGTTGCCAAATCTGCTCGAATACTTCAATAGGCTTGAAGACTTCTGGGTTGTTCTTGAAGACCTTTGCTAATTGTTTCAGGCCAGCCGCACGACGTTCGTGGGAAGGAAGCTTGCTCCACTGCCGCCCGGGTAAGCCATTAACAAAGCATGTCAATGAATAGTGACCCTTTTCGTCAACACTTGTATCCCGACCGAGAGTAAGGGGACCCGCATAACTCGCGAAATAGCCGTTGAAACCCTCCTTTCGCCACCACGGCGTGTCATAACACACAATAAGTTTGTTATAATCACCAAGCACCGTGCCATTTGTCACTTCCTGGACAGCTTTTGGCAAAGCGGGACTGATGTCGAACTCCTTGTACATAGTACTGGGCACGGACAAAATGCACTTCTTGGCCTCAAAGACCTGTTGGTTTCGAGTGGTGACAACAACGTGCGAGCCGTGGTCTTGAATGGACTCAACTGGAGATGCAAGATGGATGTTCCCCGTGCCCACTAGCTTGGCTAGCTCTTGGGCGATAGATTGTGCTCCTGGGAAAATATGTTAGCTTGCGTGCCTGGCTTCAGAGGATTCTCACTCACCGTCTTGGAATCTCAAGTATTGACCACCTGTCGAGTCGTCTGCTCGAATAGCGAGAAATCCTTTGTTCCGTCGGCAGTAGTCGATAAACCATGCGGCAGACTCTTCAGTTGACTCTAATCCGTGCATGACTTGAGACCACATGTTGACCATTTTAGCGATCTTAGGGAGAGCCCCGAGACTGCGAACGTGTTGATCCAAAGTCACATTATCAATTTCAGCGGACGGAAGTCCAGTCTTCAATGATTCTGCTTGGAAATGGTCGCGGATGGCTTCCAAATTGCGTTTTTCTTCAGGAGTGAACTGGAGGAAATCAGATTGATTGTACCATAGAGGCGAATGGCCATACTCACTTCAGGTGTTACTCCGAAAGGGAACTCGAAGCGCTCATTCTCACTTTCTTGCATGATGGCAATCCCCTCCAGACGCTGCTTGACAACCTTGAGTCCAAACTGCTGGACATAAGACCAAACACGCGGTTGGAGGGTATCATTGATCCAAGCACCTCCGAGCTCAGCAAAGCCGCGGCCTGAAGCCAAGGGCGCACTCCAGATCTTTCCTCCAACACGATCGCGAGCTTCAACAACCGCAACTGAAAGTCCAGCCTGCTTGGCTGAATACGCAGCCTGGAGACCACTAAATCCAGCTCCGATAACAATGGTGTCTAACATGGTGGATGTTTCTCGATAAGGTTGAAGGACGGAATTGTGGTTGAGGTTGCAATTGAGGGGTGGTCAAACTTCTGTCACTTCAAGCTACATTAACAAGATTTGGAGAGTCTACCGAGGCCCGGACTTAATGGATCTTCAAGGTCACATATCCCTTGCGTCTATGCGTTTTTTGGAAGGCCTTGCCGGTATTCTTTTGCGGGGAACTGGGCGGCTAACCCCGATAGGGCCGATCGGCTTCGAACCCGAGGGTGCCGACTATCTCGTTGCTTGGCTGGACAGCTCGGGGTGATTTGACTGGATAGTTACTCTATAGGGCGCGCATTGTGTAATTTTAGAACCAATAGAAATGTCCACCGTGTGTCTGTTATAAACAATATTTAATTATCTGGCGGTGTCTGCGGCGGAGTCGCGTGGACTTGAAGCCCAAATGAGTAAATAAACCCGCTGGCAATTTGGACTAACCCCTTGATATGTACGGATCACCAAAAAGCATTTCAGATATTTTAGGATCATCTTGAGCTCGGAGTCCAAGGCTTTCATTGGCTCTGTTTCTCGTTGGGGAACTAATAATCGAACTTGGTTGTTGAATATTCTGTATGGAATCTCTAGTTCTAAGTCTGATTTTCCTATACATAACCCGTATAACAAATTCGTCGGTCATCCCAATCCTTGAATGTAGTACTAAAGCCCTATCTATACAGAATTGGAGTTGTCAGCACAGGAGAAAGCAGCGGAGCCCCCACTCTTGCTATACGTATCCATGATACCCATAACGGATCCATATGTTCCGGCCACCATCAAGAATGTTCCCAGGATAATCAGAGCAACACTCCAAGAACTGGCAACTAACCAAGCTGCGTTCTTCTTCCGATCATTGTTCTTCCCCCAGTTGTCATATAACCACATGGCCCCCATCGGTATCATGCACATAAGGGGACCAAGCAGGGCACCGATGAGAGAAACCAGAGCATCGAATGCCGGGATTGTACTGGCAATAATCCATGCAACAACTGTGATACCACAAGTACAACCAAGCCAGCTTACCCAGTGTGTAATTGTATTACTGGTGAGGTGCCGGGAACCACGCAACGCGTGCACAAAGATAAACTTTGCTGGTATCTAGAAGAAACAAGATTAGCTGACTTTCTTTTATTCACTCTAGATCTTCCTTTTACTCACATGGGTAACAATTGTCATTGAGACAAACAGTCCAGGGATCGCAAATGCATAGCTGATGATCTTGATCGTGCCACCGGCTGAACCGAGAGCAGGTGAGGATACGTAAGTTCCACAGTAATAGTAGATAATGCATCCGACAATTGCATACACAGCAGTTACTCCGGCCTGGCAGGTTAACATGGCTGAGGTGTATTGGCGGGGATCACGCATCTCAGATACGATTGAAAAAAACCCTGGAGACTTGAGTTAGTCAATCTGCTCGATCATCCCACGCAGTAATGCTGCTGCAGACGTAGTGGGCTTGTTCTGTCATTTTTCACATACCAGGTGTCCCAGAGAAAGCAAACAGGAGATTTGAAACTGCTGCAATTCCCTGAACAAACGTCGGATTGCCTGCCACTTTCCAATCCGGAACCCAAGGGCCATCTGTCTTTGGTGCACTTGCTGGGCGGTCTTCTAAGCCGACTGCAACAGTAACGATGAGTACTAGGGAAGGTCAGCATGTATCAGAAACTTTCATCGTCCCCTGAAACTCACCGGCTGCGAGAATACACGGTAATCCTACCCATGCAAGCCACGTGATACGACCCAACGTCCGAATGCTAGCCATGGCACATCCGAGGATCGCAGCAACAGCAGCAAATACTGCAGTACATGTGGCATGGGTAGAGACAGCATTCAGGCCAATTGAGAGACCAAGGATTGCAGAGGCGCTGTTGAAGACATAGTCTATGTTTTGTAAGTAAGTGCGAACAAAGTGGTCGGTCAAGAGGCTTTGGTAAAAGAACATACAAAGACAAAAACCAGTGGATAAAATTCCTCGACCTGTCAATCCAAGTACAATTCCTCCTGCATCGTCAATGCTATACACCTCACGATGCCGAAGCTTGAAGGTGCCAATGACATATCCAGACCAGGTGGTGGTGACAGCCATTGCAAGCAAACAGATGATTCCAGGGACCATTCCGAGCACATCTAAAGCAGACGGAATTGCAAGAACACCCAGTCCAATCTGGGTTTTCATCATCAAGATGACAGTTCCCGTGAACCCGACCTGTTTACCAGTTAGTCGTGTTCCTGGTTTCTTGAATGGTCAATGTCGAATGATCATGCGCACATTGCGATAGTTAGGACCATCTTCTCTTAGCTCTCCAAAAACATCATCGTGATTTAGGTCTTGTGAGGGCACAATTGTGAGATCGTCCTTGTTGTCTTCCATTTTGGAGGAGTCCATGCTGAATTCTTGAACAGAACGGAATCTGCTGAAATGGCGGGTCCAACTCTTTTATATGAGGCTTAGCGACCAAATATCAGCTTGGCGAACCCAATTGGCCTGGCATCTCCAGAACTTTGAAATCCTGGGGTCCCCCACATTCACAATTTCGCGGGGAGTCCGGAGAAACATGCTCGGAAAAATCCCGAGTGACATTTGAACCTCCCGAGGTGCAGCACCCGAGATTGGCTCCACATGGTTGGATCCTATGGGCTGTTGGGGAATGTCATCTCGGGTTCGATTTTGGGCATTGTTATTGACTGGAATTCGTGGGGCCATGACGTCCGTAATTACATATGCTGTCGTCGCTGGTCCCAAGGCTTTTTGAAAAAAATCCAAACAGACCGACTGAGGGATTTGCTACCTGAGGGTGGCTCACTCACCAAGGAAAGATAGAAGTAAAAAGAAATTACCATGAAAAAAAAAGAAATCGGGTTTCTGTGTGTGCCTGGGATCTGCGCCATAGTGACAACATCGTAACAATCCGAGAGATTGACACTTACCATTCTGTCCCGACCTGAAGCGAGTGGGGGCTACCCGAGGTATCGTTTCCATGCAAAGGGTGCCTTATCGTTCAGGCCCGCTGACTGAAGGAGAGCGAATGTTATGTGCATCCGCAGACCTGACACACCTGGGACCATTGCCCTCTGGGTCTGTTAAAATTCAATTGTATCTACGCACCCGTTTTGAATCAATGTCGACGCTTCACTTTGTTTCTTTTTCCTTTTTTTTTTTTTTTCTTAGCACCGTAGTGATGGATGGACTGACATATCGAACATCATCCTCAACATCAATGGAAATTTTCGTTTTCGTTTGAAAGATATTGAAAACCAAAGGTGTTGATCCTCAAGGACCAGTCTTCATAAGGATTATCGAATCTACCCAGGTATTGATTTGGGCTAGAAATTGATGAATGATTTTTAAGAAAGACACCATGAATCTGCCTCATTATTGCATACATGGTCTAAACGTTCCTAGCTATGCGAACCATCAATACATCCAGACTAGCTAGCCAACTTCAATCCACCTCCTCGATCTCTTTCATCATTGATTCAATGAACAATTTTTGCTTGCCGAGAAAGCTTTGAATTTCAGGGACATTGAACCGCTTTTTTGCGATACCCCCCTCTCGCACCTTCTTCAACTGGTGACGAATGCGCTCCTCCAAGAGCTCAAGTCGGTATTCAGTGTACTGGGTATACAGCTCGGAGATTTCGCTGATGCCGCGTACCCCGACCAGAACAGTCTCGTCTTTGACCAGGGGCGACTTCGGTCGGAAGCAAGTGACCATACTGATACGCTCGCGACCACCCAGTGCCTTCAAGGCCTGATGCTCGATGTACCGACCTTGCATCACGACAGCAGTTCCCTAAATAAGATGAAACAATGAGCCATGGAAGGTTATGGGTCAGAAGGGGTGTTACTCACCATTGCAGGTCCGCGAACCTTCATTATATCCCCACTAGGAGTTCTCAGCGCCGTTTCACCACCGACCATTCCAATACAGTCGGAAAGCATCGTCACACAGACAAAGGGGAAACTGTCGTAATGCCATGCGACAGCAGGCAGGTCGTCATCTTTGACAATGGGGATGGTTTCCTCCACATTTGTGTTCTCGTCACGAATCGAAATGTTGATATTGGCGATCTCAAAATCGATGGAGGGGACAAGATCGATACCCGCAACTTCGGAAATTCTTGCAAGAACTTCTGGGGATTTCCAGGCGTCATAGGTAAAAGGGGCGCGTCTAAGAGAGTAAATTAGCCAGAACAATTTTTTTTTTTTTTTGCTGCACTCACGCTGCACCCATGCCGCGAACCATGTTCTTGTTGAACGTGGAAGAGTATTGGCATTCTGCAAGAACTTTCTCATCAAAGATCTCGGCTCTCATCTGGGCAATAGCCTCTTGAGTGAAGAGTGGGAATGGTTCGGTGGCTGCATTTGGTGAAATGCCATGTCCTTCAAGTCCAATCTGCTTCATGGTATAAATCGACTTGGGAGGCTGGAAGTTCATATGCTTTGCAGGGTCGAAAGTCTGCTTCTTCGCAACCTTTGCCCCTTGGATCAATGATTGAGGAAGCGGATTTGAAGGCCTTGTGGCCTTCTTTGTGGTTGGTCCAACCACAATGGGAGGTTCCACGTCGATGAAGCTTGCTGAAGGTGCCATCTTTCTTGGTATTCACGATGTGAGGTATATCAAACTGATCAAAGTTGCAAATATAGAGAGCCTATGGAATACTTATATCTCTCCAGGAGCAGTTCTCCACATCTCGCTTCCCCGGACTTGTGACCTCTCGTGGGAGTGGAATATGCGCTGCGATTCTCACCCGACCTCGCTCCCCGGATGTCTATCGCGGCTCGCCAGAACGACTTCAAGGGTTCTGTCGACAAAATGGGATGTAGACCCGCTCGGATCTCGGGCCAATCCCGATATTAGATAATGGCGCCGGCGAATTTAGAATATCTCAATTGTTGGCAAGCCGGCTTATGCCCTGTCCAACATCGGGTCGGCCTCGGGTTCCAACCCGAGGGTTACTTTCGACGGTCACCGTCAGCCGTACCGCTCCAGGGCTTGAGTGGCTATCCGAACTTACCAAACGCAATATCCTTGAATTAATTGATGCTTGTTCGGGTTCTTGTTACCCGAGATAACGGAACATGTCGATGAGCATAGCTCATCTTGCACGTGTATAAAAAGGCTCCGTTCAACCTTGAGAAACGATTTGATAATTCATTATCGAACTGTTTCTCTCTTGGTCTCTTCATCATCTGCTATTCTTCAAAATGACTTCTTTCGATTTGAGTGATGTTGCAGCCGCCCTTCGCACAGCGCGCGCCGATGCGACGCCCATCGATCCACCAACAAAGACTTGGCCCAGTCTCAACGCCGACGACGGATTCAAAGTGCAAGAGATTAACTCCAAGTATGCTGTTAAGAACGGCGATCGCTTGGTTGGCTATAAGCTTGGCAATATCGCGAAAGTGATGCAAGCCGCTTTTGGTCTCGACCACCCAGATTATGGATTCTTGCATGCAAGCTCCTTTCTGTACGAAGGTACCGCGATCCCTCGTGGCAAATTTATTAAGCCATTCGTTGAGTTGGAACCTGCCTTTGTGCTCCGAAGCTCCCTCAAGGGCCCCAATGTCACTGTGGCAGATGTTATCAACGCCATTGACTATGCAATCCCTGCAATTGAGATCATCGACTCCCGTGTCAAGAACTGGGCAATCGATCTTCCAGATACACTGGCGGATAATGGATCAACCGGAGCTATCATTCTCGGCGGTACTCCCCGCAAGCTTACCGACCTTACACTCAGCAACACCCGGGGTTCTTTGAAGTTTAACGGCGAGGAAGTGATGTCAGGCAACACAAAAAATGTCCTTGGAAATCCATTGTCGGCAGTCGCGTGGCTAGTGAACCGTTTGGCCGAATATGACATCGAGTTCAAAGCTGGCCAGGTCATTATGCCGGGGAGCTGCTTGGAGGCGGTACCAATGGAGAAGCTCGGTCACTGGTCCTGTACATTTGAAGGATGGAGCACAATCGAGTTTGAAGTTGTGTAAATAACGAGCATTGCGCAAAGAGAACCATCAATAGACTCTGATAGAGTGAACATAGACGACGGATACCTCCCAAATCACTGTGCTCTATCTCGTAGACGAAATTCTCGTAAACCCCTTTTTTCAAAACCGGTGGTATTGTCAAAGTGTGTCGTGTTGTCGAAGGGTACAGAGTAACAGGATTGTGAAAGCTCGCTCGAAAGGCCGTCGAGGACGGGTCAAGTTCCGTGAAACGGGAAGAGACTATGGCTATCACCTAGAGACACGAAGAGACAAGTCACCGACATTCTGTTCCAGGGAGAATACCTTTTGAAGATGATGGCAGTCAGATCACCACTCGCTATCTGGACAGATCTGTGGAGGATGCCACGAGTTTCGAGCTCACATTGGAAGAGACTCGTAAAACAAAAGGTAAGATGAAGGATCGCGAGAGTCACATCCTTGGGAAAGACAAGCGTCAGCTTTCCCTCTCTTTCCTCTCTTACTTTCCTTCCCTCTCTTTGTTCTCAGGTCTCGCTACTCTCACCTCTGTATATCTCTTGCATGAATAACCCCTGCGTTCCCCCTTGGAGTACCGCTTGAGTGCCTTTGGTGCCTCAGACACCAATGGTTTGACACGCTAAACCTATTTGGGGTATGACTTTCTGCCCTGATCATCAGGCACCAACATCCCTCAATCCCCGCACTCTTCTCTCCGCACTTTTGATGTCGACTTCTTAGTGCACGGTGGCTAGTCTTGTTCCGAGAATGACGACCAGAAAGCGCTATACAACCAATCCATGTGAGGGCTGCAAAGGTAAGCATCGACTGATTGAATCGTTGGAACTATGAACCCTGTCAAAGGTTGTTAACATCCCCATCTAGTCCGCCACCGAAAATGTAGTATCGCTCCCATGATACTCTGACAAGGAGAGAATTCTGACCTCATATCATGAAGGTGATGGCAAAAGGCCATGTGCAACTTGTATCAAATCCAAATCCAATTGTGAATCCTCGTCATCCAATTTCAAGTTCAAGGATGCTCGCCGGAAGCGCCAAAGTTTTCACTTTTCTCCCATTCAGAGATGGGTTGGACCCAGCCCAAAAGGTTTTTGAGATTCTTTTCGGCAATCGAAGTGCTTACAGGCTAACTAGTGAGTCCCTTCAGGGCAATTGGAGTTCGTGCATACAGAACGGACCTTGGTGCAGCAGGAACAGCAAGACGAGGAAGGGAATATTGACACTGATCCTGCGATCCAAAATTCCGATATTGGGGTGAAGGAAGTCCCACAGCAGTCAGTATTGAGACCAACCACAGTGCCCACTATTCCCGCGAGTGATTGTGTACTTAGTGAGGTGCATAATTCCCATACGAACGCCGAGGGGGGGCTTGAGGACATGAACACATCATCATCTTATCCAATACCGGATATTCAATCCGACTCACATATCACTGGCGCAAGCTCTATGTCGCCGTTTTCTCCCAGAGCGTCATCTAGCAAGCCATCGCATTCCGAATCATCCCCACATCGGTCACCATTTCCTCCTCACCGAGACCAGTACCCGCTTGGCCCCTTAAAGGGCCTTTCTGAGCACAATACGAAGGATTCATACACCAATCTACAGGAAGCTTGTTTGATGCGTCATTTTGCCGAAAACCTTTCATTTTGGGTATCTTCGCCTCGCACCTTTCTAGGAAAACACCTTACTAAACGCCAACACAGTTTGACACATGTGATCGCGATCGTCATTTTCAGTTAAATGTCCCAGAAAGGGCATTGTTTTGTCCCGTCTTGCGATTTGCCGTCTATACTGCGTCCGCTGGTCATTTGACACGACTAGCAGCTTACCGAGACAACTCCAACTGCATAATATTTGAGGGGGTCAGGCTTCATGGGCTTACGACTGACTCTGCTGTACGTTACCATGATACGTGCATCTCTTACCTTATAGAGCTATCAAATGATCCAAATGAGCAATATAATGAGGACATACTCACCGCGGCCACTATCTTGAGATTTTATGAGCAAATTGATGGTATGGCAATGTACCTCGGTGTCTCTTGGTATTAATTCTAATTTCCAATGCCAGCACCTTCTTTAGGAATCGACTCTGAGGCATATCTCAACACAGTTCAATTCATCGTCCATACCCAGCATAATGACTCTTTCTATGCCTACGATACTATTCATGGACCCCCAAGGGATCAAGAACTTCAAGTGATTCCTTCGGCATCTTTACGCCATTCGGCTTGCTTGATAGCGTTGCGACAAGAGATCTGGAGTGCTTTTCTCAACCAACGTACCTTCCGCCTCCCCTTGTGCCCCGAAAATGACTACACGATCTTCACATCCGCTGGGGATTTCTCATGGACAAACAGAATTCTAGTCTGGTGTGCCGATCTCTTAAAATTCTGCTTCGGGGAAGGCAAGTCTCTCACTCCTCAGAAGCAAGTGGAGAAGTGGAGCATCTTGAAACAGTTTGATCTCACCTGGGAAGCAAACAAGCCGTTGGGATTCAAGCCTCTTTATATGAAAGAGGCGGATCCTTCCCGTGGTCAGTTTTTCCCTGTCATCTGGCATAACAACGCATGTCAAGCTGTTGGGGCGCAGCATATTGAGCTATCCCGAATTTTACTGGCCGTATCAAATCCAAAATTATCTCGACTTGGACTAGCAGCCCGTGCAGCGACTTTGGCATTGGAGGAGGAGTTGAGAGTGGCTATTCGTCGACTGTGTGGCATTGCGCTGTCAAATTCCAATCCGGTTCTGATGGTCGATGCTGCTGTTGGAATTTCCGTCTGCGGGGAATATTTCACCGATTCTGCGGAGCAAGATGCCATTTTGAAGTTTCTGGCTGATCTTGAACATCGCCATGCATGGCCGACGGCCGCTACTTCGGCAACTCTTAGGGAGGCTTGGCGCGACAAATCTACCCCTTGATTGGGACTTCTTTGCTCCATCTTAGATCTTTTTTCTGATGCTATCAAAATGCCTTCGGAATTGCATGAGAAACAACTTGTCATTCCGAAGAATGTTGCACCTAGCCACGTTGTGGCATGCCGGCCTCTTCGTTTACTCAAAGCTACATCTAACAATGATTTGTAATGTCACTTTAAGTCAAATCGACAGAAATAACGGCTATTATTGACCAGATCATCGGCATGACTGCTCTCTTTCAAACTCGTTCTATAGGGTTCGCATTATAATCTGCCATCAACGTCATCGTTGACATTGATCCAGTCATATCTCCGAAGCAGGTCCAACAAGGACCTACGAATAGGAAGCCTTGAATTAAATAAAGCACTTACCTGAGAAGCAACTTTAGCTTTCCTGAAAGTTACTCCCGATCAGGGTCACTAAGACTAAATCCCAGATGTCGTGTTGAAATTTCCGCAAATCCCAAATGGGCTAAGATTTCCGCACAGCACCCCCTCTTTGTGAGCGTCCATCATCGTCGCTTTTCGGCGCATGAATCTGATTTCCAACAGCTTTCGACGCTTCGTGCATCTTTTTGTTTTTTTCTTTTTAGAGTATTTGTCCTGTATAAGGCAAGACTCACCAGATCATGCTATAAGATTTGGGGGCAACTTGCCCCGGTCAAGGAAGTGCATGGAAACCTGACCCACCAATTCAACGTTTGGTCGGCAGAGATATATAACTAGTCTTCCTCTGCTCCATTCAATCGCAATGTGAAGATTGGCGACCGATTCCTTGCAAACATGCTACCGACCATTGCTATTTTTGCAATTTTGCTTTATCTACTCGTGTTTTGGGTAGTTCTGCCAATTTGCCGTTATTTCCACGATCCGAAAGGTCTTCGCAAGTTTCAAAGTTACTCCACCTTCTCCGGCATCACAGATATTCCCTATTGCTACTTAAGTGCATGTGGATTTCGATCAAGGGACCTTACGGAAGCTCACAAGGATTCGGCCATCCTACGCATTGGACCCAACAATTTATCTTTTGGTGACATAGCTGCTGTCCGTGATATTTATGGACATGGAACCACGTGTGTCAAAGATCTCAAATATTCAATCACTGGCGGGCCTCATCCAAATCTCTTCGATGTGGTCAACAAAGCCGACCACAGCGCAAAGAGGAAGCGACTCTCGGCTGCATTCGCCATCAAGAACCTGGTGCAGTGGGAGTACAAAGTCGTGCGTACCACAGAGCGCCTCTTGACTGCTTTTGATAAGCTTTGTACACAACCATTGCCGCCAAATTCTATTCCAGACCCGTCCGACCTGACTGTGAATTTCAACCACTGGATCAATCTGTTTACAATCGAGGCCATCAACTATATCGCACTCTCCTCAACTCTTGGTCTCTTGGAGCAGGGAGGCGATGTTGTGACTGCACAGCGACTGGACGGTACGACGTACCAAGCACACTACCGCACAGCTCAGAATCAGAATGCTTTTGCGGCATCTCATTTTGTATGGGACTACACCAATTTTGAACTGTTCAGTTCTTTCTCCAAGATTTTTCCCAAATGGCGAAAGGTCTGGAAAGATGCTGAGCCTTGGAAAGACGTTATCTATCACCAGGCCATCACTCGCATGAATCGATATACAGATGGAGAAGAACTTGATGACTTCTTTTCCGCATTGATGGACGATAAAGCTGGTCAGCCACACAATCTGGAATGGGGCGAGATTGTTGGCGAGATCGGTGCCATAATCGACGCCGGTGCAGATACTACCGCCATCGCCCTCACACAAATCGTCTACCTGCTCATTCGCCACCCGGATCATCTAGAGACATTGAGACAGGAAATTCAAGGTGTCCTTGCCGAAGATAAAGTTATTGCTCCCTACGACACTGTCAGACATCTTCCATTTCTCCGGGCTTGTATCGATGAGGCTATGAGGATTATCCCCCCAACTTCAGCAGGACTCCCGCGCCGAACACCACCAGAAGGGACGATGATTCTTGGCAAATGGATACCAGGTGACACGAGTGTGTCCATGACAATTTATGGTGCCCACCATGATCCAACCGTTTTCCCCAACCCGGAAGAATTTCAGCCCCATCGTTGGATGGACCCCGAAGAGAGAAAAAGAATGGAGCCCTACTTCATTCCATTCTCAACGGGTGGAAGGGGCTGCATTGGAAGGAACATCTCTTATCTTGAACAGACTATCATGCTGGCTTCACTGGTGCACAGATACGAGTTTTCACTCCCAGGGCCAGAGTGGAACTTGACACGGCATGAGGCTTTTAATCTTTTGATGGGAGAAATGCCTATCAAGATTTGGCGAAGAGAGATACCAGCCAAAAAGTAGCCTATTGATTTCTTCTGATACACCATTGCTTTTACCAACCTTGAACGTCATTTGATGGGATTCAATTGAATCTAAATGCACTCCTTCCGCATGACTTCTTCTTCGTCTTTTTTTTTTTTGTTTCATAGTCTGTTCAAAGTATATACGCTATGGAAAGACATGGCTATTCTCATAGAGTCAATATAGGCAGACTTTAAGCAACACAAATTTTTACGCTAATTCGTCTTCCGTGATGTCGTAGCGATGTAAGTCAAATCGAGTCAAAATTTTTAACAACAGCCGTTGGTCTTACTGGGAACTGAGGCAACAAAAGAGACTTGAAACCCTGGAGATTTCAGAAAGAGACAGACAAAAAGTCATGTCGTCAGATGCCCAAGACTTCTGTCACTACAATGGGTCGAAGAGTATCTCAAATCCCTCAAGAATAGGTGTGTGAAGATCTCCAAGTCGGTATTCACCGGTTTAGCCGATTCTGCTTCGATGAAGCAGTTCAATGGCCGAGAACCAATGAGCACTTTTGACCAAAAAAACTGATTTTATCGATTCAAAAGCCGGCTCCAAATCTGCATGAAGCAGATGTGCCCAAAAAAGTCATAATTTCCGCAACCCCACGGGGTAGATCCCCCGCCCCGCCAAGACGCATGGCTCCCCCGGTGATCTCACGAATCAGAGCCGATCAAAAACGAATTGGTGGACCTATGCTCTATCAGTCTTGTCACTTTTTTGGGGTATAAAAAGTCTTACATGGAGGTCAAAATTAATGTTAGATTTTCACGATATTAATTCCATTTATTTTCAAAGCTACGTCTTTACTCAGTCTCGAAAATGGCGGACATGCAGGAACTTCCTGTACAAACTGCTAAGAAAGCTTCGTACATCCATGACGAAGATGCATTCGACGGCCAACCCAGCTTGGTTATCGAAGAAATAGCTTACGAAAGAAATGGCCTCAAAGGAATCGTTAACTCGCCATATGTCTGTGGTGCAGCTCTGCTCGCATCGTTCGGAGGACTATCATTTGGTTATGGTAAGCTGCTTTATAGCAAGTTCCAAGCTTATTACAAGTAAAACTGCTAATTCTCAATATAAGACCAAGGAGTAATATCATTGATTCTGGTGATGCCTCAATTCATCGATCAATTCCCCCAGGTGGACTCCAATGCCCCACGGTACGGCTTTCACACCGGTTTCCTCACAGGAATGCTAGAGCTTGGCGCTTTTGTGGGGTGTTTATTCTTTCCGTATGTTGCGGATCGAATTTCAAGGAAATGGGGCATCAGCATTGCAACTGGATTTTTCTGTGTCGGTGCCATCATTCAAACAGCAGCCAATGAATACGACACACTTGTGGCTGGGAGGTTCATTGGTGGTATTGGTGTCGGTACATTGGCAATGGGTGCACCGCTGTACATTTCCGAAATTGCTCCACCTAACTTACGAGGTTCTCTGATGGTGCTTGAGGCTATTAGTATCGTGATTGGAGCCGTGGTTGCTTATTGGATTACATATGGTACAAGGTATGTGCTGGCCCTAGCCTGTCTTCCCAATACACTACTCCACAATACACATATTGAATTCATCGAACAGGGCGGTCAGCGGAGATTGGGCATTCCGATTACCATTTCTTCTCCAAATGATCCCAGCCCTAGTCGTTGGTTTGGGGATTCACCTGTTTCCTTTCTCACCCAGGTGGCTCGCCTTACGTGACCGGAAAACAGAAAGCCTGATGTCTTTAGCCCAGCTACGACGACTTCCACCGACAGACGAAACAGTTCAGTCGGAGTGGAGAGGGATCCTTACCGAAGTTCGGTTTCAGCGAGAGATAATGCACAACCAATATCCCAATACAGGGCCAGCAATGTTGGAGCTCAAAGGATGGATGGACTTGTTTCGTCCTCGGTATCTTCGCAGAACAGCCGTTGCAATCGCTATCCCTTTCTTCCAACAGGTATTTCTTTTATTCTCTTGTAGCGAGGTCAAATTTGCAAATGCTAACAATCACTGTTAGTTCTCAGGAATTAATGCGTTCGTTTACTATGCTCCCACATTCTTGTCCAGCTTGGGTCAGAGCTACAATACCTCTTTGATTCTCTCCGGATTAGTGAATGTTGTCCAGCTAGTCGCTAGTTTTCCCACTCTTATTTACTTGGACAAAATCGGAAGACGCAAGCTCGCCATTTTTGGTGGTGTCTCTATGGCTATTCCACATCTCATAATGGCAGGCATATACGAAAGTTTCAGCGATAGCTGGACGTCTCACAAGGGCGTTGGGTGGTTTGGTGTGGCTCTGATCTGTAAGTAACGTGTTCTTCGCTTCGATGAGCTTGCTAATATCTGTAATCCAGATATCTATGTTGCCTGTTACGCTGCTTCATACGGACCCCTTGCTTGGGTTCTTCCCGCCGAAGTATTCCCAAGCTCTAGACGGGCCAAGGGTGTCGGTCTCGCGACTGCGACCATCTGGTTGGCGAACTTCATAATAGGAGTTATGGTTCCTCAAATGCTTGTCTCTCTTGGATGGGGTACCTTTTTATTCTTCGGGCTGTTTTGCGTAGCTGCCGCAATTTTCTCCTTCTTTTTTGTGCCAGAGACAGCAAACAAGTCTCTGGAGCAAGTCGCAGGTGTCTTTGGGGACTCTCTCAATCATACCGAAGATGAGATTCAAGCTCGAATTGAGCAGGAGATATGGGCCGAAACCAGAGACCGGGCTTCAAACCAAGCGGGTGCTTGAACGGAGGTACGCTTCGAGGAAAGAATCTTGTATTTTGATCATCACTCATTGGTATGCCACTTTGTGCCATATAGAAATTGTCATTCAGGAAGTTTATACGACAATGAGAATCTGCTTATATACTCAATGGACGCGAATGTCGATTCAGAAGCTTTATGAGGGACGAGGGTGCCTCAGGGGATGACCTGCTGCATTGAAAACAAAATCATCCAAGCTGATCAAATCGGACGCACCAAAAATGAGATAAAAGTATCTCAATGTCTCTGACATCCAGAAATTCTCGATTGAGTCACTGAGCATGGGTGCTTTACTCTCAAACGTGACATCAACAATGGCTGCATTTCCATAGTTGGTCGCTGAAACATTGTTCAAAGATTCAAATAATTCCCAAGCTTTGTCCAGAAGATCTGCACGCCCCGTGACCCGATAAAGTACGAAAATACTTTCAATGACCTCTGGTCGCAATTCAGATATGGTGTCAGGTATGTCAATGAATCCTTTCGGTAAGTGGTGGTCCTTGATGAAAGTATCGATATTCATGTCCGAAATGCGTTCAATCTTCAAGCTGTTGGCTTTCTTCCAAGCTTCCTGCTTCCAATGCCACTCATTCCACGGACAGTGTAACTGGGATGCGCATGGAACCGCATCGAAGACCTTTGGCATGATCCCCTGCGACATAGCTTCGTGGGCCCAGATACACCCGTCAACCAGCTTGTGTGCGATCCTTTTGTGCGCAGGAAGGCCAAACAGAGCTCCTCCTAGAGCAAAAAGCCCACCTGCAAAGCACGATTGGTAGTGTACTTGTGACTGTAAATGGGTCCGAGGCTTGCCATTCTGCGTCACAAAAGCATGAACTGTACCTAGGAGGAGTATATCTTCCTCATCAGGATTCATCGGTCGGAAGAGGTTGTGTCCTGCTGCTGCAAAGGTAAACCTTTCGTACATCCTGCGATTGACTGGCATCTGACCACCGTTCAACGCATACGCTTGTGGTAAAATTTTGTAGAAGGAATTCCCCATGGCCCCGATCGCGTATTCATCGCCATCAAATGACTCCGCTCTGGCATTCACATACACCGGCCAAAGGCCGGGCAGCTTGGTAGATCCATATTGGCGATCAAACAGATCCAACACTCGCTGGGCAGCATCGAAATACTTTGAATCGCCGGTGATTTGGGATAACCTTGTAAACTCCAGAGTATAAGACCCTAGTTCTGCGGCAAGAACTTTCTCTTCGGCTAGCTGCTCCTCGCCTCGAGAAGCCTTATGCGAATTCCAATGAATTATGGGCATTCTGTTGGGGGTATCAAATGCTGCATAGAGCATATCACCCAGTTCAACGCATTTGGTCAACAATCTTTGGTCATTGCTGAGATCGTAAGCGGCCAGTAACCCCCCGAGTAGACGGATGTTGACATCAGGAGTGTTGAGCTCTGGCGCATCTGTGACGTCGAAATCTATTTGTGTGACTGCAGTGACGGCGACTTCAAATTCTTCGTACATCTCCATTATCCACAGAGTATCGAGATTTTCCAGGATTCGGGCACCCCAGCCTCCACGGTTATTCGTGGGAAGACCGCTGAGGGGCATGAGCCCGTCTGCTGCCCAAGCATGGGACTGATAAGACTTCCAACAGCGTTCAAACCTCTCCTTCACAGCCGCTTGCCTTGTCATTTGACGTTGTAGGGCCGGTTTGGGGATTTCATGGTCCGTCGATTGAAGCTTTGGGAAGGTTCGGGATTTCACGGGCACTTGTTGGACCTCGAGTACCGGGTATCGCACAGGCAGCTGCTTCCACAAGGATTCATTTTTGGGTAAGTCATTTGAGCTTTGGTCGTCATCGGTTTGTGCCGCAGCAATCGGGGAGGAGGTAAGCTGGGACAGAGGGAGATGGTCATTGTTTGCGTGGTAGTGCAGATAAAATAAGAAAAACAGGACACTCCCAAAGAAAGTGCCGAGGATTTGACGCCGAGTCCGACTCATGGTGACTTGAGCTGAACTTCTTCCGGCATCTTCAATCAAAATGGTGAAAATGGAGCAATGGGAAAGTAAGAATAAAGCAGTAGTCTATCGCAAATGGTCGCAAATGGTCAAGTGTGTGTGTTAAGACATCATTTGTATATTCGTCAACTTATACTATAGTGGACAAGAAGACCCAATCAATTGGGCTCTGAAACAGCTAGCCCTGCATCGGCTACTACGGTTGTGCACTAACCGTCAACATTTTTGCTGCATCGTAGCCAGGCTTACGACGCTTTTTCGTCCGCAATATACCATCGAAAACACAAGCCCTAGATATCTTAGCAGTTATTGTTTTCTATCTCTGTTTAGCTGTACGTACGGTAACTTTAGAAAAAGTATGTTCTATGGGAATTCACTTAGTCCTCACCGTATACGGGGCTTCGCATGGTGTATGTAGAATGAGATGGAAAAGATCCGCATCCCGATTATCTCGGAGACCCGTGAAAACTTGGAAACCTTCACTTCAACGACATGCGTAATTCCCAGAACAGCAAGATATCGACTTGTTGGTCAGCTTAATATTCCGCGGCGTCAATGCTTGCTTGTCGGGCTGGTTGGTATCAGGGCAAGAAAAGCGGATTTCCACTGCTAGGTTTTTTCGCCCCTTTCCCTCATGAGACCCACTTTTTGTTGCAAACGATGGGGGGGGGGGGGGAACGACAAAAAAGAAATGTGCATCATCCGTGAATCGAACACGGGCCTCGTCGATGGCAACGACGAATTCTA